TTTGTGAGGCACTGGGTTCGATCCTCAGCATAAATAAAATAAAGGTACTGTGTCCATCTACAATTAAAAATTAAACAAGAGATAAATAAGACAATTCAAGGATGGAGAGGATCTGAACCCATAATGCACTAAATACCAATGGCAGTGAACGTGAAAAAGAATCTGAACTGAGAGTCATGAAGAAATGGAAATAAACAGATATAACCTTCTAGAAAGGGATTTGGGCATGTTTCTTAAAGCCTTGTCATTTCACTCAGTAACACCACTTCCACAAATAGTTCATAATATATTTTAAGAAAAACGCAAGCCAGACATGGTGGTGCACACCTCTAATCCCRGCAACTCAGAGGGTTGAGGCAGGAGGATCACAAGTTCATGGCCAGCCTCCTCCGCAAATTAGCAAGGCCTTAAGTAACTTATCGAGACCCTATTTCGAAAAATAAAAAGGGCTGGGGATGAGGCTCAGTGGTAGAGTGCCTGTCCAGCATGCACGAGGCCCTGGAATCAATCCTCAGCACTGCCCCCCCCCCAAAAAAAAATCATTAAATTCACTTCAGTGTCTTTAGAAAAGCGTATGTCTACCCTGAATTTTTTTAAAATGACAGAATCAAAAGGTCTTTTCCACTACCCTTATGCTTTACCCTGCTTTCCCATACTGGAAAAATGTCCAACAATTGATCTGAAAAGGGTTAGGCAGGGGCTGTACTTGAACGTTCTGTGTTCCTAGATACAGTTCTATTTGGTTTTTGCAGCATCCTTGAGACAGGTGGCGCTGTTGTTACTCTCCTGCTACATACCAAAAAATTAAAAAGGAAAGATACTAAGTAGACCAATCACTGCCACCATGATGCAGTCCCAGAACTGGTGCTCTAGACTCTGGTCCTAAATTTAGTCTCTTTCCACAATAGGCTGAACTGTATTTCTGGTGGCCCATCTTTCATTTCCTGCACTCAATGCTATCAAAAGTTACCAATGAAAGAGACCAATTCAGTGCACAATATGACTGTGCAAAATGACATAATGGTACACCTAAATGGTTAAAATGTTAATTATTATGTGTATTTTACAGCAATAAAAGGAAAACTTCCAGACTGAGAAATAATTAACGTGATCAGACTTCACTGGAATCCAGTGAAGTTTGTTCCTTAGGTATAACCCCATGTTCTGTGTGGACCCTCAGTCCACCAGGTGTGGTGGTACACTCTGGTAATCCCAGTGGCTCAGAAGGCTGAAGCAGGAGTATCACAAGCCCAAAACCAGCCTCAGCAACTGAACTAGACCCTGTCTCTAAATTAAAAAATAACTTAAAAGTGGAGCTGGGGGAGACGACTGGGGATGTGGCTCAGTGGTTAAGAGCCCCTGGGTTCAATCCCTGGTACAAAAAAAAAAAAAAAGCAGAACAGGCAGCGTGATGTGAGAGGCCCTAGTACAGCACGGGGCAAGGCCAGGACGTCAAACAAACCCTGCCAACACTGGCAGGCTCACCAGCCATGAAGACTGCCCAATTCACTTCTTAACTCTGGTTCAAAAACAATCTTCCGATTTTAAAACTGGGTTAGTGTGTAACTTTCCTGTTTAGAATGAAAACAAGTTACCACCCCACAAGAGGCTGCTCCACCTGAGATGATTTCCTCACAATTTACACACATCATGGAAACTCCATTTTTTCTTGGAAGCCTGTCATGACTCTGCTGTGTAAAACTGATCAACTCCACTCATGAGCTTTAAGAAGCTGCAAAGCTTTTGCCCAGCTTCAGAACACATGATCACACAGGCTGCTTGTGCTAGGCACGTGTGTTCCACTCTCCCCCACCAGCCCAGGAGGAATCTCACTGGAGCAACCTGGACCACAACAGGGCAAGCCTGTAACAAAAGGCTTTCCTTACCTATTTATTTGTATTAGAGAATCCTTTTTAATGCACAAGGCCTTGGGTTCAATACCCAGCACCACCAAACAACAACAACAACAAAAAAATCATTTTTAAACTTTAGTGCCCAAAACATACAAAATTTCCTCCCCCTTCGAGCCATTATTGCCTAGAATATGCCATGCAACTCAATGTAGTTAATTTTCAACTTCAGTGTTTTTGACATCTCTCATCTGACAWGTGAAGTTAACATACTACATTCAAGCAAACATCATTTTGCATGGTCCTCTACACAGATTTATAATTACTCTGTTCTCAGGAATATTTTCACACTAAATGTAACTCATTTATACATGTAAATCCACAATGCTGAGGAGTCAATCTAGTCAGCACCTTATAAAGACTGCACAGTCTCTATCCTCTGATTCTTTTTCAGTTCCCTCAATTTGAATAAAACATGCTAATCCAGTCGCACTGCTGTGGTCTCTCATTCTGCAACTGCTTTGTGATCTAGTGTACAATCTCAGCACAAGAAACAGTGCTGAGGTGCTACAAAAGTCAAGACAACTACACTGGAGTAAAAGAAAAATAGAATTTTATGCCTGAGTTACCTTCAAAGAAAGGATCAACAAATAGTCATATAAAGGGCAACATAAAAACCACTGCAGCTGGGGCGACTTCACCAGTAATCATATCAATCACAGCTGAAAGAAACTGCAGCTGAGTGATGCCATGAATTCAAATTTGAAAGGAATGGAAGAAACAATGTCAATTCCTCCTACCTCACTGTGCACGTGGTGTCCTCTGGGGTTTCTCTTCTTCCTGCAGCAATGGAGCACCAGGCCTCAAAGCTCCTGTTTACATGACTCCCTTGGGAAGCTCACACTTGCTCAAATTTCTGCCTCCATGCCGCCTTCTCTCCCCAGGAATAATAGATCTCAACAACCTAACAAGTTCAACTTGTCCCTCTCCCATCAAACCTGCTCCCACCCACATCAGCATGCAGGTACTCCAGCAAGAAGCACTCCTCACCCTGGAGTGCTACCTGACACCTCTCTTTCTCACACTTCACAGGAAACCCCATTAGCCCTAATTTCAAAACAATCCTGACTGAAAGAATACCATCACCAGCTCCACTACTGATAGTCCAAGTTAGTACCCTCATTGTTCCCTTGGATTACTGCATCCTATTTGGTACTGCCTACTAAGAAAACAGTCCTTCCTCCTTTCTCATTATAGGATACTGAATTCTCAACACAAAAGCTGGACTTTTATGCTCAAATGCCACAATTCCACATTTCTCTGAGCATAAACCAGTGCCTACAAGTCTGCAAGGCCCTATGCAACTACTTACTTTCTGATCTCATCTCTCCGACACACTCCCCCTTTCTCAATATATCCACCATATTGACCTCCTCTCCACATTGCAACACAATAAAACATATGCTGACCCCAAGGCCTCTGCTCGAGCCATCTCCTCTGCCTAGAAGACTCCTTCCCCTAGATACCATACTTAGCCAACTCGCAGGCCTCCTCCAGGTCTACATTCAAATCCTTCCTCAGTAAGTMCTACTCTGATCACTTAAATCTGCAATCTGCACTCCCCAAACCCAATGACCCACCTCCTTCTCTGCTTTTCTTCCCCCGTATCAATTATCATGTTACATACTATTAAAATTTCCTTACTCATCACATATTGCTTATTGCCAAGATCTCCCTGGTAATGTGTCAGTTCCTCAAAGGAAGCTTTTTAAGTCAGCTTTCCATCGATAACATTAAATAATAGAGGCAATTAACTCATAAGAAGAAAAGTTTTATTTTGGCTCACAAGTGTGGAGGTTCCAGTCCAAAACTAAGGATCCATTTATTGAGCCTCTGTCAACGGCAGCACACCATGCTGTGAGCCTGTGGCAGAGCAAACTACTCACCTCATGTGCCAGGAAGCAAAGCTCAAGAGGTCTCTTCTGATCAAGGTCCCATAATCTGAGGACCTGTACCCAATGCCCCAGCTACCTCCTCCTAGGACCCACTTCCTAAAAGTTCTAGCACCTCCCAAGAACGTGACTCTGGGGACCAAGTGTTTAAATAGACACAATGTTTTGGGGACACTTACCCAAACCACAACTGGCAGGTATTATTTTTCCCCATTGTTCAGCGATACCAAGCAATGAAATCATACTAGGCWGAGAGAAAGCAATCAATACGCATTTGCTAAGATGAATAAATGGCAAATTTGGGAATTAATCCAGACAGGAACCTGACAAATGTCAATGCATCCAATGTTGTACTCTCCAGGTCTCAGTTCTGACCTTCAGGCACCAAACCTAAAGCCTTCACATCTACTTATACCAAAACATACTTATTTATTCAATATTCTCATCTAGACCCAAGGAATTTACTTCTACAAATTCATTTCAAACACAAGCACTTATTTAAAGATTCTTGCCCAAAACATTAAAACAGAAATCTAATCATAAGGAAACAGACAAATCCAGAATGCAGTACACTGTTCAACACAATTTATGCAAGCTCATTAAATTTCAACCTAGTGAGGGGGAATATTGTGGATTATCAGAATTTGACAACTAAATATGATGTACATATGATTGGTGACTTGGTTAGAGGGCTAACATTAAAAAATAAATAAATAAATAAAAACCCACACACAACACTTCATTTTCTGAATTGACCAGACAGCAAAATTTACCAGAATTGATTAAATTTTGATTAAAAAGCCTAAATCAACTCTGGACTTAACCAAAAAAAACTCACAAATCAATAAATGAGTAAGATATCATCACATAGTGCTCATTTACGTCTAAACTAGGGTAAAGGAAACGTGACTCCCAGGACCTGTTCTATCAGCACACGTGCCTCTTCCTTATTGTCACTGCAGCCTTAAAGAGTCACAACCCAGCCACATGGGACAGCTTCAAGAAACTACCAGCTTTACCTAACACTAAAGACAAAATTCTTGATTCTTTCATTTAAAAACTCTAGGTTATACAACAAATCTTGAAAGCATTTACCTATTAATGCTACTGGAGTAAAATCCCTTTTTAAAAACCTTCATACCATAAACCCAACCACATGGCTGAATTCCTCTACATATACCACAAGACAAGCACTGGGTAAAGATGAGTATTTATTCACTTTACAAAGAAATGGTATTAAATTGCCATTGATAAACACATACCACTATATATCATACCAGCAGCTCAAACTGTGTTCCCAAGAGGTGCTAAGGGTTCCAGCTCTGAGAGCYGAGCACAGAAACCTCTGTTCTGCCACAGATGTTAAAAAGTCCCTCAAGAGATAATTATTTGTTTTACATATTCACAGGTGGGAAAAGATAAATCCATCTGCCCAGCCCTTCCTAAATACTGGCTCATTCTTTAAAAACAAAACAAAGCAAATTCCTAATAATCTGAAAAAGCTTTTGTAGCGCACCAAAATACTTATTAATACATAAAAAATCTTTGAGTTGAATTTATTGTTTTAAAGATAAAGATACCCTAACACTGCCAAGTTGGCAATGAAAAAGGACAAAAAACATTAAATTTACTGAATTATAAAAATATTTTCTTTGGAAAAAAATTCCAACAAGGTTATCATTAATATCTAAAACCAAAGAGAAAAAAATAAACAATAGTTCTTTGATTCATTAGTAATTTAAATAAAAATGAAAACCTCTTTAAAAGCAGCTATGAGTGAATTTTTTAAAAAGTTACGGGTAATGAGCACTTCTAAATCTATATACACTGATTATTTTTGTACAGGCAATCTGCAGCCAAGAAAATTTTTCAATATGGCTAAACCTTTAGTTTTTTAATTATCATAATTTTCTGTTTTGTTTTAAAAAMATATTTCACATGACAGCTTAAAAAATAAGTGGTTGTTTTGAGGAAGCACTCCAAAACTTCAGTTGGACTTGAGTCAGATAACCACAGTTAATACACAAGCTAGGGATACTGGTAAATAGGGGTTTTGTTTCTGTTTTTTAATCACAATAATTCTTAACTCCAGTTTTTAGTTATTCCTTCATATTTTATTAAAATGTACCAAATTAAAAACTTTTCACTGTGCTGCTTCACATATGGATTTGATGAAGGATACCAACCTGAGAGAAGAGCTGACTCATTCACAAGCGTCCAGTTTCTGAAACCCTGTGGGATATGTCTGTCTTCACTTAAGTCAATTCCTGACATAACCAATCATATTAAGATATTATATTATAAAAATATACCATATATTGGACACTCATGTCAGTACATTGCAGAAAATGTGTCTATTTACTGTGTAAAGTTTATTAACATTTGAATGAAACACTCTTATTTACACAGTTAAAAGTCTGGGGCACTCAGGACAGCAAGGTGGCATGGGAATCGCCGCTGTGAATGTGGAAATGTGCAGCGGTCCTTGGCGTCCTGGCACGGGGACAACCCTCCCTAGGAGGACTCCGCAGCAGTGGGCAAGGTGAGTCAGGGTTCACAGTCTGACTGGCTTGCTCTTCTGTCTTCACTCCTCTTCACTTTCATTTTCAGGATCTAAATCAGAATCTCCATTTAATTCTTTTTCACTTGACCCATCTCTGTCCTCACCATTTTCTTCTTTTTCTTCAGCATCTTCATCTTCCTCCTCATTCTCTTCATCAATGTCCTCATCTTTTTCACTTTCTTTCTGTTCATCATCTTCATCCCAGTCATCCTGGTAGATATGTCAAGGAAAGAAAACAATCATGAAAGGCTCATTCTCATGGAGCAATRAGGCTATAAAGTCAGATTTATGTACCAGGAAACAAATAACTCACATCAGAATCCTTATCTGCTACTTCATCATCAGACTCCTCTTCAGAAGATTCTGTGGGGAGGGGGAAAATCCAGCTTTAATTTTGTGAACAAAGCAGAGAGCATGTCCCTAAAAACTAAGAAGCACCAAATTCCTAAACTTACTTTTAGTAATACTTATTATTCATCTATCATTTATGCAAGAAATAATGTTAATTTAATAAGCTTATCTGAATAAAACTGCAATCTATTTATACTATTCCTTCAAGATGCTATTAGAAAAGACTAAGTACACAAACCCCTACAAACCCTCAACTTAAAATACAAGCCATTTCTGGACCAAATAATCTGGATTTCTCTGGATRTAGAAAAATTATATCAAAAGTGCTGGCTTATAAACAGAGAAGAATGGAAGCATTAGCATTTTTTAAAACCATAATAAAAATATTAATTATGGAAATATTATTAACTGACATGTTAAATATATGTTTGTGAGAAAAAATATTCAAATGTATAAGTAGTAGCAGAGCTATATTATTTTCTAAGCACCTTGGGAAATAAATGGAGAAGAAAATGTCACTGATTTTAGCATCATTAATGTAATAATAAGCACAATGTGATTCTTGGATGTGATGTCATCTGAAAACACATTTACATTGATAAATTCCCACAAAATGTTTGACTTAAAAAATTCAACAGGGCTGGGGATGTGGCTCAGGCGGTAGCGCGCTCGCCTGGCATGCATGGGGCRCTGGGTTCTATCCTCAGCACCACAYAAAAATAAAATAGAGATGTTGTGTCCATGGGGGGGAAAAAATTCAACCAACTTTGGACCTTGCATCAAAATTTAGAGGTTCCAACTACAGGAGACAGAAAGGAAGCAAATATAAGATGAGGAACCTATGGAGTCAACTACCTGTCTCTTCATGTCTACATCATCTTAAGGGGGAATTCATATGTATGTGAATAAAACACTTTGCAAATGCACACGCAAACAAAAAAACGTAGTAAAAGAATTTTAATACCAAAAAGCTAGAGAACTATGGCTTTAAAATGTGTGAAAGCAAGAGTTGTGCATGGTGAAGCAGTGGCTAGGAAGGTGAAGGTAGGATGATCACAAGTTTAAAGTAAGCCTCAGCAACTTAGGGACACTCTGTCTCCAAATAAAATATTAAAAGGGGATTTAGTGGTTGAGTGCCCCCAGGTTTATTCTCCAATACCAAAAAATAAACCTCTGGGCCTAGTATCCTATCCTATAAGAGGTTTTAATTAACTCAATTTTAGATTTTTAAATGAATTTTGGTCATTAAAGTTTTCTAACGAAGTACTAGTTTCACCTACATTTTCACATGTACTGGCATAAAATTTGCTCAGGATTCTTCCATTCCACACCTTTTCTGTCACTGTGTCATACTTGTACCTTCTCTTTTATCATAGGTTTTTGCCACAGACTTGACTATTTTAAGAGAGCTTTGTCAAAGCAAGACTTTATATGAATGTTCTCACACAGTAAGAAAACTGAGTCACCATGAAACATTTCACTATTTCAGTTCAAGATTCTACCCTCCTGGGCTGGGGATGTGGCTCAAGCGGTAGGGCGCTCGTCTGGCATGCGTGCGGCCAGGGTTCGATCCTCAGCACCACATACCAACAAAGATGTTGTGTCCGCCAAATACTAAAAAATAAATATTTAAAAAAAAAAAAAAAAAGATTCTACCCTCCTGCCATCTTTTACCTTCTTCATACACCAACTTTGCCTTCTGTCCAGGGGAAGTCATTCCCTTCGTTTTCTCTGACGCTGTAACCTGAAAAAGTAGAATTTTTAAGCAAAGTACATATCTATTCCCAAGTATCCCAACCACTACCACACCCATCTCCCACCATCACCCATTCATTCTCCTCCCATAAGAATGAATGGTCTGAATACAATGTGGAGCAAATGGGGGAGAGGGGGGAGCACCTTCAAATACCTGGAGAAAAGAATTACTTTGTAAAAGTTGGGAAAACCTCTGAGGTGATTAGAGTATGTTTCTTTGCCAAAAATTTAACTGCAGAAAAATCCTGTAACTTGTTCATAATAACATTATCAACCTAGCTATATTAACAACTGAAATATCCCAGTAAGAAACAATTTAAATATAAGTTGAAAGGGGGTATAACTAATCTTTCTAACTGTGAAATAAATAATATTTACAAGGTAAAGCCTGGATTCTGTTTTCCAGCTAAATGAAGTAGCCCTCAATATATCAGGTAAAAAATTCCCTCCCACCGCCTTGGGGAAAAGGGGGTGTAACCAGGGATTGAACCCAGGGGTGCTTTATCACTAAGCTRCATCCTCAGTCCTTTTTAATTTTTGTTTTGCTTTGGGCCTAACTAAGTTACTTAGCCTACCCTTGAACTTATAATTCTCCTGCCTCCACCTTGAAAGTTGCTGGGATTACAAGCATGTGCCACCATGAACAGCTTATTAGGTAAGCAATTTTATTTATACTCCATTCCTATCACAATCAAAAGTGTTGGTTAGAAATACTCTCATTTACCCACCTGTGTGATTAGAAGGATAAGCTTTCCATGAAGATGTGAAAGTTTCTGAAAAGTTTTGACTCTGCTTTCCATTAGCTGATACAGTGTCCCCAGCTGGTGTACCAGATCAGGCAACTAGTGGGGGAAAAAAGAGTGTTTGGTATTACCACATACAGAGATGAGAAATATACATATCAGATCAGCTCCACTTTAGCGTTCAGCCACTACATAAGTATCTGCTAACAAGTACTTCCAATGGCAGTGGCTGCTGGGGACACAGCCAAGCAACATCACAAATCTTCACAAAAGGCCCACAATATCCCAGCAGGAAAATTAAAAAAAAAAAAAAAAAAACACAACTCTAAAAAAATAATAATAATAAAGATACATGGTTAGGAGGGAGAAAATTACCAGGTAGGGCAAAACTACAGGATGGAAGTTCTTCGTATTGATAAATTATTTCAGGTAAAATCAATACAAAGTATATAATTTAAAAAACATCTCTATGACACATCTCTGGCTAGAGGGGACTCTCCTCTGACTCTTATTCTCCAATGACGACACATTATCTATCCTTACCATAAAGAATCAGTGAGTTAGAGGGAGTTTTTCCCAGCTCCCAGGGACCAGTAGGACAGAACAAGAGAAGACAGAATTGACCCAAATAGCATTCCTATTACTGAATCCCATAAATCATTAAAGGAGAAAATCTTTTGTCCATGTAGATCTATAGAAAACGGACCCTAACTTTCTCCTATAATCAACCTTTATTTAATCTCCTATTTCTGACACTTGTGCATAAAATGGTATTTCATTCCTGTTTGTAAACAGCAGATAGGCACAAAAATAAGTAACACAAGGTTTACTGTGATTACATTTCAATTTATCATCATCTCCCATTAATGTACCCCCATTCAGACTATGAGATCCAAGATGGGGATCAGAGTGCCTTAAACATCTATGGCTAACAGAGTTGCTGGCTTAGAGAATAAACTTAAATATATCTTTAATCTATGATGCTCACTTCAGTAGTTGATTCCAGAAGAGATTTCACTTCAAGGCCTCTGGGCCTCTTGCTTCTAAGCAAGTAACTGAGATTTAGTATCACCCAGTATTCTAGCCAGGGTTCTAAAACATATCATGTTTGCTTTAATCATCACATGCAGATCACCATGCTACAGAGCCACTCCACACACCACTGCCCTCAATTCACCTCCCAGGATTCCTGCAGGCTAGGAGATCTAATCCACTCTATTGCTTGTCTGTACACCTATTTAACATTTTGGCCGAGTTCTCCCTGGACACACAAAGAATGCACAGCTGACCTCAAAGCAGGTTATCTAACAATTTTCACTGTTTCAGATCACTAAAGCCAAAAGGAATCTGAGACACAGAAAAGGAAGAGGGACCATGTAGGAGTTGTATAAACTATGTTAAGAAAGGAAGAGCTATAGTTTAAAGAATAATTAAGGAGCTGGACAGAAATAGTGGTGCATGCTTGTAATCCCCAGTGATTTAGGAGGCCAAGGCAGAAGGACTGCAAGTTCCAGGCAACTTAGGGAGACTCTGTCTCCAAAAAAAAAAAAAAAAAAAAAAAGTAAAAAATAAAGGGCTATGAATGTAGCTCAATGGTAGAGTGCCTCTGGATTCAGTCCAAAAAGAGAAAAGAGCAATTAAGGATTTTCAGTGATCCACTAAAACTTTTCAAGAGGGCAGGGGATGTGGCTCAAGCGGTGGTACACTCGCCTGGCATGCATGCGGCCTGGGTTCGATCCTCAGCACCACATACAAACTAAGATGTTGTGTCCCCTGAAAACTAAAAAATAAAAAAAAATTWAAAAAAAWTWAAAAAAAAACTTTTCAAGAAAATTTATTGAGCCAAATTATAATGTTATATTGTATGCATGTACAAATATGCAACAACAAATCTCATCACTATGAGAAAATGTGGGAAAAAAATACTGTGGGCTGGAGATATGGCTCAGTGGTACAGTGCTTGCCTAGTTGTGCAAGGCACTGGGTTCAATTCTGAGTACTGCAAAAAAAGGGGGTGGAGGTGTATTTTTAAAGTGCTAGACAATCAAATCAGAGTATATAATTTTAATTCTATTTCTAGTTTAAAATATAACTGATGGAACAGATAACAAAGAACTAATAAAAAAACTTTTTCTGACATTAAGATTTTATCTTCCTTCTCTTCCATCTGAATAAATAATATAATTCACATACCAATGAAAAGCTGGCAGCCAACTCTAGCAAAATGCCAGTTTAGAGCTCCTGGCGTACCCTGCACTTGCTGCTGTCTGCCTGCCTGCCCCTCCTCCTCTTCCCAGAGCCACGGAGCTGCAGCAGCTGACACATCACAGCCTCAAACACTATGGCATCTGGAGTTACAGTGAATGATGAAGTCATCAAAGTTTTTTTTTATATTTTATTTTAGTTATAGTCAGACACAATACCTTTATTTTATTTTTATTAATTTTTATATGGTGCCGAGGATCGAACCCAGAGCCTCACATGTGCGATGTGAGCACTCTACCACTGAGCCACAACCCCAGCCCCTCATCAAAGTTTTTAATGATATGAAAGTAAGGAAATCTTCTATACAAGGAGATAAAAAAAGAAAGAAAGAAAACAGTTCTCTTCTGTTTAAGTGATTAAAAAAAAGACAAATAATTGTAGAGGAAGCAAAGCAGATCTTGGTGAGTGACAGGTGATACTGTAGAGGACTCTTACACATCTTTTGTGAAGTTGCTGCATGTGAATAATTGCCAGTATGCTTTGTACATTGCCACACATGAAACAAAACAGTTCAATAAAAAATTCTTTTATTTATATTCTGGGATCTTGAAACTGTACCCTTAAAAAGATGATTTATACTAGCTCTAAAGATGCCATTAAAAAGAATTTACAGGTATTAAACTCAAGTGGCAAGTAAATGGCTTGGATGATATTAAGAACCATTCGACATTTGRAAAGAAACTGGGAGGCCACACAGTAATTTCACTTAAATAAAAATTGTATATTAACCCCATTAAGTGCCATCTTGCTCTTAAGGGGATTTAATTTCTCCAATTCAATCCATTGAAAAAGCATTAGTGTTTTTTTTGGGGGGGGGTTTTGTTTTATTTTGTTGTTTTTTCCTTTCCACACTGGGCCCTTGCAACACAGTGAATGATGGAGATACCAGTCATTTAAGCAGCCTGTCAGTGATTGCCATTAGACCCTTTAATATGGTTACTTTTACATAGAACCCACTGTCTCATTTTAGCCAAAACAACAGGTTTTATACCTCCCTTGTGGCAAGCACTAAAATAAATGTGATGGCCAATGTGAATGGCTTAGAATACTGCAAAGGATAAGCAGACTAAATGCCTTGAAAGTATTATACAGTGATCAGATGGTGAACGTTTTTCAGTATTATTTATAGTTGCACTTGATTGTAGTTCCATAATGCACTGGAGCATCATACACTCCACCTACCTTGGCAAGCCTTCTTTTGAGACATGGCAGCACAAATATAACATTATGCATTAAAACACTTTTTTAAAAAAGARTAATCCCCCAAAAAGAATGCCAATTAAGTTTCATTAACTATGTCATCAATTTATTCTACTACCTCAGTGTTCATTCCTATCACCTGAAGATCTTTTTAAAAGAAATAGCTATTAGTGCCTTTTTTTGTTTTCCATTGAGTGTATACTGTTAATCTTAAGAATTTTATATTCACCATGTGAGTCTTAAAACACTAAAGATATTGAATATGGTGGCAATTTCTGTATAAGACCTTTCAATGTAACACCCTCWCAAAAACGACCACTGCAATAAAAATTGTGGACTGGTTTAAAACAAAAACAAAAAACGCCAGTTTAGTTATTTTACATCATTTTTATCCTCCCAAGACAAGGCAAGACAGACATGTCAGCATATATGAAGGGTTTAAAACTTGGCAGTGTTTTTTAAAAGGAGAGTAAGGATATACACAATGTAACAATTTTGCTGAGCAAGTACTGTGTAGAGAAAAACATGATTAATATATCAATATATAATATTTCTCCTTCCTGTATTTTTAAAAGCCTTCTTATACACTATATATTACTTTTAAGATTCAGGAGGGAAAGGGTCACACAGTTTAATTAAGAAAGGATTCATGTAAAGTCACCTGGGAAAAAAACAAAATCTCTAAAAGAAACATCTAGTGGGTGAAGAAAAAAGATAAGAGATGGTTCTGTTCAGCATTTATCAAATTTTATAATGCTTAGCAAAACCAAATTATTGATACTCAGAAAAGACTTACTGTGGATAGGTATGATGCATGAACCGTTAACACACATTTCAACCACTGAACCATTAAAACAGCACTGGGAAAAAAAAAAAAAAAACTCCAAGTAAATATCCACAAATTCAAAACTAAATACAACCGAGTTAAAATTTTAGAAAAATACAGATAGGCAAGTGAAGATCTAGAAGTTATGCTGTGAAGATGACCATAATAAATCAACAACTAGCTCTCTCCGCTTTCTGATTACCATGTGAGCTGCTTCCCTCTGCCACACTCTTCCTCCATGATGTTCTGCTTCACCTTGAGCCCTGAGGAATGGAGCTGGCTTTCTATGGACTAAGACCTCTGAAACTGGTTTTCAGAGAAATGTAATCAAGAATGAGGCTTTAAGGGATTTGCTCATGTGACTGTGGAGGCGCKAGAGTCTGATGTCTGGAAGGTGGGCTGGCAGGCTGGAGGCGGAGGGAAGAGCTRACCTTGCAGCTGGAGTCTGAAGGCAGGCAAAATTCTCTCCTCAGGAAGGTTTTGTGGCTCTTACTATCTTCATCATACAAGGTCATGACTGTACAGCAGAGAAACCAACAACTCCCTGCCCATAAGAATAAAGAAACTCTGGACCTAGAAACTGAAGCAATGGCTCTCTCAAGAATACAAGTTGAGGGACTGGGGTTGTGGCTCAGTGGTAGAGCACTTGCCTAACACATATGAGGCACTGGGTTCAATCCTCAGCACCACATAAAAATATATAAAAAATAAAACAAAGGTATTGTGTCCATCTACAACTAAAAGTATATTTTAAAAGAATGTAAGTTAAAAATTAATTATACTTAATAATATTGGAAAACAGTCATTTTATCTTCTTTTAAAAGTCCTGTATTCCCCTTGGCAGTTAGAAGTGCAGGCTTTGAGGACTTACTTCACTATAGTATTTCTCTGCTAGCAAATCAATAAAACTTCCATTTTCTCAAAAATAAATAAATAAATAAACAACTATGCATTTAATATTCATGTTGTATTTTTCACTGAGTTTGAGATTCCTGAAAAACACTAACTTCCTAGAGTAGGGACTGGAAAAATAAGACAAAAATCAGTCCCTCCAAAATAACTTCAAAATAAAACCTATGCTTTACTTCAAATTAACTGATACTACAACAATAATCTTCATCCAAACTGAGCTTAACCGATTTGGCATTTTATGTTCATGATATCCAAACCCACCATCTGATATTCACCTTCGAAAGCAAACAGCAAAGTCTTTTCTACACCAATATTAAAAGGCAAATAAATATAGACCTAAATTGTGAGAGCCAGTTCTGTTTCATGAGTTCTTTAGCTTTCCTCTTTTGTGAGCTCAGAAAGGTAACAGAAAATAATCAAAAAAGAAAAGCCATACAATATACACAGCAATGATAGCATGCTACAATCTTAGACTACAAATTTAGTCTTTTAGCTAAATTGTGTGTGTGTGTGTGTGTGTGTGTGTATGGTAGTACTGGGAATTGATTCCAGGGCCTCAGACTCACTAGCAAGTGCTCTACCTCTGAGCCACATCCCCAGTCTTAAGACTTATTTCTTTATGGTCTCTTACACACCTACTAGAGGTTGGGCAAATTCTATAAATTGTCAATTTTACATACAGTGATTAAGACTAACTCATTAAATGAGTCTAACTCATTAAATGACCTAATAAAATCTGATCTACATAGGAGCTTTCTCAAAAAAAAAAAAAACTGTAATAAAATCTTAGAAATAAAATCATTTAATCTAAAATGGGGGAAGAGTGACATTTAACCTTTGTAAAAAAAAAATTTAGTTGTATAAATAAATACCTTCATTTTATTTATTTATTTATTTGTGGAGCTGAGGATCGAACCTAGCGCCTCACACATGCTAGGTAAGCAMTCTACTGCTGAAACACAACCCCAGCCCCAACATTTTAAAGAATTCTACCGTTCAGAATATGGGGTTACCTAATACTATTTAACACTTTCAGATATTTAACAATAATCTCTAATTTACTTTTAAAAAAGGCAATTTAGTCATCTAAACATCTTACCTATTAGGATGTCCTTGCAACCTCTTTGTAAGCTAAGGAAGAGAAAAACATTATTAGCAACAGCACTTCAGAGGCTACAATCTTCATTAGTTCCCAGTGTACAACAAGAGCTGAAAATTATTTCATTTAGTAGTGTATCTTCAACCAACTTTGAATTGTTCCCACAAGAGTAATTACCTAAAGAAATCTAGAACTGGATTTATATGAATCAATGTCCAAAATAGACAAATACATGGAGACAGTAAATAAATTCGATGATTGACAATAACTGGGGAAAGGGGAAGTAGAGTTACTACTGAGTACAGAATTTTTGGGGGGATGCCAACTGCACGACCTATGAACGTATTAAAATTCACTAAACTGTTCACCTTAAATAGCTGAATTTTATCTCAATTTTTTAAATACACAAAAAAAATCAGGGTCAGGCAAATTTTGCCTTGGAGTTGATTAATAGTCAAAAAGCATATGAACTTTTCTAATATATGATACTGCATATTTATTTGTGTTGGTACAAAGGATTGAACCCAGGGGCAATGAACCATTGAGATACATTCCTAGCCCTCTTTATATTTTATTTAGAGACAGGTTATTGCTGAGTTGCTTAGGTCCTCACTAAGTTGCTGAGGCTAACTTTGAATTCACAATCCTCCTGTCTCTGCCTCCCAAGCCGCTAGGATCACAGGTGTGCGCCACTGCGCCTGGCCTTATACTGCATTTTTAAATACAGAGGTTTTTCACTACCAATAATGGTAAACCTTACTCCCACTATTAATAATAAAACCACTCTCACTCTCACAAAGCACTTCAACATGTTAAGCAAATAGCATAATTACTGATTACAAAGAACAGACTTTATCTTTAGATATACTTTTTAATAATTTGTACCCACTCTTTAAGCCTTCAATACAATCATGTATGCTTTTAAAAGAAACCAAGAAAAAGATTTTCCTTAAGGTAATAATGGTTACCAAATTATTGGAATTCTGTTGAATGCGATGCACCTAAGGTACCCAAATGGCTCCAAACCTCAGGATTTGCCTGAGCTGGAGTTATTTAGTCCTCGGTACCACTCAAGGCTTTCTGTTCTCCACCACTCCCTTGCTCCTGGCTTCTTTTGTCCAGCTGCTACCTATCCTTTCTTAACACTGTTAAATAAACTTACTTAAGCAAAGACAGGGCAACCGCTTGTCAGAGACAGTGAAAGTTAGTCTCGTATAGGCCTGAGGCTGAACCAGATCATTGTTATGCTCTTTATAATTCCACATCGATAGGCATAAAGATTAACACCCCAAGTGCACTAAAGCAAATCAAAACATATCCAAAAGTCATTTCAAGTGAGGTCAGAGCTCCTTATAGGAAATAAGGGGAAAAACCAAATGTGGGTTTCTATTACAATCACCCCATGCAGTGATCTTCTGTACAAACAGCATTGTATGGTTCTCCTTAAAGTTGCAACTGCATTCTAGGTAAAGAGATACATACTCCCTGCTAATGGAATAAAGGTAAAAATGTCCATTGTATTTCCTTTTATTGGCTTATAAATTCAATTTCAACCTTTTTTTTTCACCGTTCCAAAGCACTTTCCTCCAATTCATCCGTCACTCCCTCTCTAAATGCCATGCATCCTTAAGTATGAGTAAGGATCACAAATCCACTTCTCTAGACACTGGCATTTCCCTTTTATTCAAAGGATTAGGATCTTAAAATGAAAAAAGAAGCAGTTACCTCTTGCAACAATGGAATAACAGCATGCAAGGGTATCCTTAACACAGTCTTCTTTATCAGGTTTAAATTCCTAGTTTGGAGTACTTTCTGTGGAAAAAAATAACARTATCAACAATGTAACTATAATATAAGAAACTAAGGAGAATACAGGAAAAATTGTCTACAAAAATGATTTAAAATAAATCTGGGCAATAAACAACCAACTAAATTTGGCAAATCAAGGTTAGAGGCAATGTGTTATTCTCTTGATAAAATACCCAGGAGCAGAATGACTGGATCATATGGTAGGTCTATTTTTAATTTTTAATAAACTGCCAAACTAGTCAGGTGCGGTAGTGCACTCCTGTAATCCCAGCGGCTCTGGCTGAAGAGTATCATGAGTTCAAAGCCAGCCTCAGCAACTATGAAGCTCTGAACAACTTAGTGAGACCAGATCTTTAAATAAAGTACAAAATAAGGCTGGGGATGTGGCTCAGTGGTCCTGTGCCCCTGAGTTCAATCCCAGGTACAAAAATAAACAGATAAACAAACAAACTGCCAAATTGTTTTCCAAAGTAGCTGTATAATTTTATATTCCCAACAGCAAAAAGTGTGTGAGCTACTCTACATTATCCACAATACTACACTATCTTTTAATTTTCAACATCCTATACCAGATATGTACTGTTATTTATGGTAATCATTTACATTTCTGTGATTAGTAATATATATACTTTCATGCATACTTATTATTCGTTGGAATTCTTCTGTAAAGTGTTCAAATCTTTACCAATTTTTTTATTTTTTCTTGAGTGAAGTCTTATTTTTTAGTTCTTTCAATGATCTAGATACACCTTTGTCTGATACAAGTTTCAAATATTTTTGCCAGCTTACAGGTTCTCTTTTCAAGACATTATCTTTTAAAGAGAAGAGGTTTGTAATTTTCAAGAAGTCCAAGTTATCATTTTTTTTTCAATTTTTTCCCTTTTTTGGCAGGGAAGGGAATAGTGGTGATGGAGTAAGGGGTTACCAGGGGTTGAATTCAGGGGCACTCGACCACTGACCCACATTTCCAGCCCTATTCTGTATTTTATTTAGAGACAGGGTGTCACTGAGTTGCTTAGCACCTCACTTTTGCTGAGACTGGCTTTAAATTCGTGATGCTCCTGCCCCAGCCTCCCAAACTACTAGGATTATAGACATGCGCCACTGACCCCAGTGACCAATTTTTTCTTTAAACTTTCATGCTTTTCATGATGTATCTTAGAAAGCTCCTTATTTTCCTCTAGAAGTTTAGTTTTAAGTTTTATATTTAGGCCTATGGTCTACTTTCCATTAATTCTTAAGTGATATATGAAACAAAGCTGATAGGTTTTTCCCCCCAATGTGTGTAGTTTATTTGTGGAGTGTTTTTGTCCCTTAATCTATATTTTTCACCAATATTAAACTATATTGATCACACAGCTTTATCATAAAACCAGGTAGGGTAATTCTTCCAACCATAGTTATATAGTTCTGGTGATTTCACATCCTTTGTGTTTCCTATAAATTTCAAGACCAGTTTTGTCAATTTCTAAAAGATGACTGACAGGGACTTCTAAAATTTTAATTGAGAATGGGTTGAATATATAGATTGATTGGGGGAGATTCACCATCATAACAATACTGAATATTCTAACTTATAAAAACATGGGTTAGACCTCCAGTTACTTAAGTCTGAGCCAGGTATAGTGGCACAAAGCTTGTAATCTAACTTGGAAGGCTACGTCAGGACCAGCCTGGCAATTTAGTGAGACCATATCTCAAAATAAAAAAATGGAATGGGGGTATAACCCAGTGGTATAGCACCCCTAGATTCAATACTCAATTAAGCAGGGTTCCATTTTAATTAATTTATTGCATCCATTGTGATTTTAATGTTTTAATTTTAATCTGTTTTAGATCTGTTCTAGATTTCACTTAAACCTTTAGAAAATATTTATTTTTATTTATTTACTCATTTATTTTTAGTTGTAGATGAACACAATACTTTTATGTTATTCATTTATTTTTATGTGGTGCTGAGGATCAAACCTAGTGCCTCACATATGCAAGGCAAGCACTCTGCCACTGAGCCACAATCCCAGCCCCTAGAAAATATTTAAGTAATAYTGATTTAATAAACTAAATTTAAATATTTATTTAACTTAAATAAATTAAATAAATATCCCTGTCCTTGCTCACTTTCCTTATTCCTATTTTTAATGTCCTCCTATGCATCATGTATCTGTGTAAGGCAGCTTCTGGTAAAGTTATTTTATGTGGGAGAAAACATTGTTTTTACTTGCCTCCCACACCCCGCCCCCCGTTTTGGTATGAGGAATTGAATGCAGAGGCACTTTACCACTGAACCATATCCCCAGTCATTTTTAACTTTTTAATTTTTTGAGACAGAGCCTCACTAAATTGCTAAGGCTGGTCATGACCTTGCAATCCTGTCTCAACCTCCCTAGTAGCTAGGATTATAGGCATGCATCACCAAGCTCGCACAATGCATAATGCCCAGGTAATATACTATTACCATTACTTTGAACATTTTGGAGGGAATGGGGGCCTAATGGGGATTGAACCCAGGGGCACTCTGTTACTGAGCTACACCCACAACCCTTCTTATTTATTTTTTAAAATTTTGAGACATGGTCTCCCTAATTTGCTTAAGATCTAGCTAAATTGCTTAGGGTCTGGCTAAATTGCTGAGATTGGCCATGAATTTACAATCCTCCTATCTCAGTCTCTCTAATTGCTGGGATTACAGGCATGCCCCACCACAGCTGGCTTACTTCTCACTTCTAAAACAGGTTATTTTAAGAGCGCTTCACTGTAACTTTTACAATCTTTTCAAGCACATAATTTATTCAACTAATTTCCAATTGCTTCTACCTAGTAATACAAAACCTTTATAATTTGAAAACAGCATTTGTCTTTCAAACAACCTTATGACATCTGATAAAAGTTACATATTAACACCTTTGAGAAGTTCTTGCTAAAAGAGATTTGATACTAAATGTCTTTAAGTTTCTAGATCTAACTACCAGTATTCAGGAAACAAGATGGACAAAGAAACATACTAAATGATACCACAGAGGCAGAGTAGGCAAAATCCAGAACATGAGGACTGGGGCTGTAGCTCAGTGGTAGAGAGTTTGCCTAGCTTGTAAGAGCCACTGGGTTCAATAGATAGATAAATAGATAAATAAATTAAAAATAAAGGCATGCTGTCCATCTACAACTATAAAAAAATTTTTAATATGGGTAGAAAAATGAGTATTTTWAAAAAAAATCTAGAACATGGGACTCCCTATTAGACAAATTGTCTAGAGTCTCCAAAAAGTAAATTACAAAACACAGAACAGACATAACAACAAAGTACAGGATATAATTTGTTGAGATCCTGTTTAAAGAAAGCAAAATTTAAACGCTAATTACATTTGATAATTTTAAAGAATTACTGTTTACTTTTTTAGACATGATAATGGACTGTGGTTATGTTTTTAAGCAATGGACTATAGCTGCTTTTCATTTGAATAGGTAAGTATCTATTAATGAAATGGCATTTGATCACTTTTGAGATCTGTTTCACTATAACCTGGGGGGTAGAGAGGTAAATGAACCATAAGAGATTGGCCAGTGTTGATAATTTCTGAAACTGAATGATGGCGATTCACTTTACTCAAAAAGTTTGAGTGCTGGGGAAATAGCTCATTTGGTAGAGTGCTTGCCTTGCATACACAAGGCCCTGGATTCAATCCCCAATACCACCCAAAAAAAAAAAAAAAAAAAAATTGAAATGTTTCTCAGGAAAAAAGAAAAAAACTTTGTACCTGATTCACCCACTGAGGAATGTTTCAAAGCATAGTTACATAGGCAATGATGACAGGCAAGTTATACTACATTTCAAAAATACTGTCAATTGTTTTCTACAGCTTCTTTCTTATAAAATCCTCACCTAGGTGTTTTTTGTTGTTGTTGTCGTTGTTGTTTTGCCACAGTAAACTAAAATCCACCTTCTAAAACTTCTTTAAAAGTAATTTGAGGTTTTTAGACTTGCTAATTTTCTCTCATTTTGTAAAACCTCCTTTAGACACAAATATATTACCACTTAGAAATAAAATCAAAGACATTATTCATAGATTACAAATTATACAACTATGACTAAAACTATGATGCTGCTGAATCATTGAGAATGCATGTCACAATTAAATATTCTATATAGAGCACTACCACGTTATGAAATTCAAGAGGATTAATTTGAGTAACTTCATACAAGCAGTCACCAACTTCCACAGAAGTCATAAATGCCTACTTTCATATAATTTTTAGTACTTTTGCCTTCATATATTTTACAACATATCCCCCAACCCTCTTGAATTTCCCCCCAAACCTCCTACCCATTGTCAAGGTTCCACCTCACCGCCCCCTCTCACGGCCAGGGGGAAATAAGTTTCTGGAATCCAGAGTAAAAACTCAGGAACGCATTTTCCTACAGAAAAAAATATAAATTGTGATCTAGAATGCTGAGTATTATAATTCAGCTACGCTATTTTTATAAAGGCTTTTGTAAACTAAAGCCTAAAAACTAACAATTCAGAACAATATTTCTATGAGAAAATGCATTCCAGGTTTAAAGGAATTAAACACAAAACCACTGTAGGTTAGTGACTGTCTGTATAATGTCACCATATTATATACATTTGACTAAACTCACAAAATATTAATTACAAACTGCTATACAACATGATTATTCACTGTCATGTGCTGTATCACTTTCTAGGAAAAACTAAAAATTTAAATCATTGAAACACTGCTAAAATACTTACATTTAGCATTTCGAAATCATTACTTTCTAAACCCTGTGTGAGAAGAACTGGAAAGCTATTCGTCTGCAAAAGGTCATCTTTTTCTTCTTTTGTATCTATATCCATTGCTCCCAGACGTTCTTCAATGCTAACCTACAGAACAGAAACAACCTATTAAGATCAATAAGAGAAGACCTAATATAGCGCTGGGACTGCAGCTTGCCTGGCATGTGTGAGGCACTGCGTTTGATCCTCAGCATCACATAAAAATAAATAAATTAAACAAAGGTATTGTGTACATCTGCAACTTTTAAAAAAATTTTAAATAATTTAATAAAAAGACCTAATATAGTTGAGAGACAAAAACACACAACTGATTTACTGTCTTTTTTCTTTTCCTTCTCTCATATTAACATTAATAAGAATTCTTTAATGTTTAACGGATCTATTATTATTTTTCATTTTCAACTTGTAAAATAATAATAAAATCAATTTTGATGTTTTTTAAATAGATATTTTTTTAGTCGTAGTTGACACAATYCCTTTATTTTATTTATTTATTTTTATGTGGTGATGAGGATCGAACCCAGGGCTTTGCACGTGCTAGGCAAGTGCTCTACTGCTGAGCCACAACCCCATCCTCTTGAGTTAATATATCCCTGTAAAAAAGAAAAGAAAAAAAAAAAAAGGAATCATTTCAACCCAAAAAAACCCAAACATGTTCATTTTTATTCAAATGGAATCTCACTATCACAAGGACTACATGGAAGACAAGTGAAACATCTCCAATTCAAGTTTCCATAAGCTAACAAAAAATATGAATGCCAAAGAAGCATGATTTAAAAATGTTAATTCACAGAATACCACTATGGAAGATTCAACAGAGTTAAGGAGCTGGCATCTGATTACTAAAGCAAAAGAAACAACCCATTACCCCCAATCTAATTATCTCTTGGCAAAAACTTCAGATCTGTAAAAGGAAGAAAAAAAATTATCAACAGAGCGTGCTTATGCACTCAAAAAATTCATAAAATGTCTTCCTATTTTTTAATGATTCCAAATGTTTTATTAGTTAGATGCTTTTATTAGCTAGATGCTTTACTACAGACAAGTGTTCTTGATAATATTTCTTAATTTAAACATACATGACTATGATACAAAGACCCAATTGAAAGAACTGATCCCTGACTGAAACCATAATTTGCCAGCTCCTTGGTAGCAAAGTGAAGATATAAATCTGTTCTATGACTAACAAAGCAAACAGGTGTGCTCTGGAAAGCTTCCTACTTGATCTATCCTAACATATGGAAAACATTAAAAAGGAAGGATATTAAAGAAATTAATCTAGGCCAGGCTAAAGAAAGCTCATACTTTTATTTAAGGCCAGATATCACACTACTAAGGAATAATGTTTATGAATAGCTAGGTTACCTCCAACCCCTCCAGCTAAAGAATTGATAAAATTCTAGATTACTTAGACAAAAGTGAAGAATGTGAATGAAAGATGGAGAGGAGAACTCTACAGAGATTAATACAATAACTACAGAAGGGTTTTGAGAGTGAAAAATAACGTTTATAAACATTTTAAGCAATTATAATGACCATTTTTAAAGACCAACTGGCACAAAACCAGCCAGGATTGCTCAGACAGCCAAGAGAAAAGAGGCATCACTGGAACTCAGCAATATGCGAAACCCAATGAAAATCATCACAGCAAGTCCTGGCTTATTCAATTTTATATTATCCTGTTAATTATTAACAAATGGCCAAAATTTAATAAAAAAAAATTCCACTTTCTCTTAACAGKGACCAAGTCAAGTCTTATAAAGGTGACAATCTAGAATTTGGGGACCTGAGCTGCCTGGGAGGAACATAGAACAGCAACAAACTTAGGACATTTCTTATAAAGATTCAGCTTTAGCATTATTCAATATACTTATTACACTCTCCCAAGCACTCTTAAATCTCAAACTCAAGTATCTGGTCAAAGGGGTTGCAGTACCTCATTTCCTCCTAATTTCCTCTTGGTCTCTACTTCCTTGGCTGGTGGAGGAGGCCTGATAGCAGCATGATGCCCAGGAATCCCAGGCACCAGAACTTTTGCTTCAGAATTCATCACTGGTGTTCTCACCTGTTAAACACAGTTTTGGGAATGTATAAAAAGAAATTATGCCTTACTCATTACAGTTCCTCAATGAGAAAACAAAGCTCTTCAAAAGGCTTTTCTATTGAAAAACTCAACGTAATCTAATTGCCATGATAGGAATACAAGGTAAATTTTAACTGAATGTTGGCAAATTAAGTTTTAACATAATAACCTGAGAATACATGGCTTTAAAACTTCTGAGACTTTGTTAAAAGTGAAAAACAGCGGGCATGGTGGAGCAAGCCTATAATCTCAATGAATCAGGAGGCTGAGAAAGGAGGATCAGAAGATCAAGGCCAGCCTCAGCAAATCAGTGAGGCTCTCAGCAACTAAGTGAGAACCTATCTCAAAATAAAATATAAAAAGGACTGGGGATGTAACTGAATGATAAAGTGCCCTGAGTTAATCCCCAGTCATCCCCCTCAAAATGAAAGAATAAAAAATAAGAAGCAAAACCTACAGATTACCCAAGGACACAATGATTTAAAAATGTTAAAGAGCAAACTTATACATTTTATAACCACCTCCAAAAATCAATCTTTGCCAGAAATGCTCAGACAGCCAAGAGAAAAGTGTCATCTCTGAAACTCAGCCAGAAGCGAAACCATGTGGTTGTCATCATAGCATGTCTGGGTTTTCCCATTCCCCTTAAACTGTTAAATACATGACATTTACATGTAGACACCAAGTTAACCAAGTTAGTTATATTCAAAGCACAGCACCACAATGATGCTCTTTATGTGTGGGAATAAATTTTAGCCTCATTGTGGTTTTACTGCACCCTAAAACACAATATTCTTCTCAACAAAGATTTTTTTTTAAAGTACTGAGAACCATTCATTAACAAAGTTAATATTCACTGCTATGTATTCCCTGTCCTGATGATCATATACCTGGGCAAGAAAGAACTAAACTCAAGGTTTTTAATTCTAACCAGCCAACCATTCTCTCAGTCAACAAATCAAGAGCACCTAAATGAAGTTTTATAATCTTGGTATCTAAAACTGTAATCACACAAAATTTTTAAGGCAAGATCACAAAGTACAGAATTAAAAAGATAAATGAAGTTTAATACTACAGAACAATTCCCCCCAAATTTCATTTTTACTTAATTTACTTGGAATGTGGAATGTACTTACCTTTGTTATGGCTGTTTCTACTTTTGGGGCCCAGCAGTTTGAAATATCTCTTACTAAACACATATGAGTTTCTTTGGAGTTTAAAGCCTAGGAATATTTTTTAAAAGAAGGGAGATGGAGGGAAAAGAAYGTCAAACAAAGAAATTGGGAATAAGAACAAAATGACAAACAATGATTAATTGTGCATTTTCTAAAAATAAAAAAATTAGTGTGGAAGGCTTCCTCACTAAAATGTTGGCCACAATCACCACTCTTACAGCAACTGGGGGAAATGGGTAAACTCCTAAGACACTGCAGAATTTTTAACATTCATAATTTAAAGGAGCAAATGGACTTTTTTCTTCTTCATTCTTTTTGGCAGTACCTGGGATCTAACTCAGGGGTGCTCCACCACTGAATTACATCCCCAGCACTTTTTTTTTTTTTTTTTAAGTTTTTGAGGCAATGTCTCATTAGGTTGCCCAGGTAGGTCTCAAACTTTCAATTCTCCTGTCTCAGTYTCCTGAGTGCTGGGATTACAAGCATGTGCCACCACACCCAGAAGATTTTTATTTTTAAATCTATGTATTAGGTTTTTTTTTTAAAGTATCCACTGGGCTGGAGACATGACTCCAAGATAGATGCATGAAGACCTGGATTTAATTTCCAGCACCAAAGGAAAAAAATAATGGTGAAAAAGAGTATTCTATTTTTTTCTGCGGACAGGGGATACTAGGGATTGAACTCAGGGACATTAGACCACTGAGCTACATCCCTAGACCTTTTTTCTTTCTTTCTTTTTTTTTTTTTTTTTCCAGAGACAGGGTCTCACTGAATTGCTTAGCACCTCACTTTTGCTGAGGCTGGCTTTGAACTCTTGATCCTCCTGCCTCAGTCTCCCAAGCCGCCAGGATTACAGGTGTGCACCACCATACCCAGCGAAAAAGATACTTTTTAACTCAACAAATGGTGGCCATGCATTATTCCACTCATAGTTTCCCTGAGGGCCTTATTAAGTACTAAAAATGCAAGCTCAAGTAATCACCTATATGGACATGCCAATAATTCACAAGTGTTCGAAGAAACTTCTGTAGTAAAAAATGTTAAGTCATTGCACTGCCCACTGCAATCCCACTTAGAAAATACAATGGGTGTTATCAAAAAGGGCTCTTATGAAGATATCCATTTTATGTAACTAGGCAAAATTCAACACAAGTCATATCTGTGCTAAYCAAAACAACAACAGTAGGAACATGAGGCTCCTGGGCACTAAGAGGAGGCTAATCCCAACTGAGATGTATAAATGTAAAATAAAATGCACACCAGAAGACAAAATGCCAAAAGAGGGAAGTGTAAAACAACATTAAATATTTCAAAACAATGCTTTATATCAAGTAAGTGTGAAAATGTTATTTTAGGTATACTGGGCTGAATAGAACACAAAGTTCTTACAAATTAAAATAAACCACCCAGTGAAAGGTCCTATTTCTCCTCAAGTATTCCAATGAGTAGCCAATATGTTCTTAAAAAATAAAAAAAAAAATTCCTCTTTCCCAAGGATGGGTTGATGCCATATTGTTTTTCTCCAGAGTAGCATCTACGTACCACTCGCTCAATAGTAGGCTGAAACCAATTGCCATATACAAGCAACAATGACATTTTGTCTGGGCAAAAGCCAGCTGCTAGAATAGGGATGGGTTTTGGTGTTGATTTCTTGCCTTTCCCAGGTGTTGTTATCTGAATTGTACAGTTTGAAGTCAAAGGCTTTTTGCAGTGTCTAGGAATAGGGAAAAACAAATATTAAGATTAGAGAATTTCAAACAACACCTCTTACTAATTCTCTGAAGCTGGCACCTAGTCATGTAAAGTAACCCTCCTCTAACCTCCACACTACCACCACTACCTGAAGCACAAGTATGCCTTTCAAGATTTCACCTGCCCCCACCAACACCTCCATGCTAAAACTGGCCTTGAAACACACCTGCCCCTCTGCCCCTCTCTATCAGGACCCAGGAAAGCCCCAAAAGGAGGCCCCAGGCAGGCACAATGCCACATGCCTGTAATCCCAACAACTAGGAAGCCGAGGCAAGAGAATTCCAAGTTTAAGACTAGCCTCAGCAACTTAGTGAGAGCCTATTTCAAATTTCTTAGACATGGGGATATAACTCAATGGTTAAGTTTCCCTGAGTACAATCCCCAGTACCAAAAGAAAAGGACTCCGTAAGCTCCCAAATGACCTCTCTCTCACCTGCTCCAACCCGCCCCTCACTTCAGCCCTTACACATATTCTCTCTTCCAGCCAGTCCCATCTCCAACAGTTCCCAACCCCCAGAAGCCTCACCATGACCTCTGCAATATAACTCCAGAAACAAATTATGTCTTCCATATCTAAGGACATTTCTAACCTTCTCTTCCCTGGCTCATCCTTGCAACCCTCTCAAGTTGTAGCTGTTTTCTCTCCCACACCCTTGTGCCAGAGACCTTGGTAAGATCTGATTTACGTGTGCTCCTCGTTCTCCACTGACACTTCAAGACTACAGTTATCTCCCTCTTTCACCTGAAAACTTTCAAATGTTGTCAGCAACACCCTTCCTGTTGCCACCTCTGGGTTACTCCCCTATATTTCTGGAAGATTTCAGTGGTTTACTTCCTTCTTCCCAACACTGCTCCCTAATGAATTCCTTTCTTGGTAGTTGCCATATTTCATGTTCAGGCTGAAGAGACTTCTAATAATACTCTGGTATCTCAGTTCCTACTTCCAATGATTGTACCCTTCATTGTATTTCAGTCACACATTCCTCACACCTTAGATATATTATCACTTATTCCTTAAGTGCACCCCCCTCTATCATTTAAACTTAAAGCTATCTTTCCAACTTATTCCTTCAAGTATAATAACTTCACAACTATACCTAGAAACCAAGAATTTGCATCTCTGCTTTGGCCTTTACCTCTCTTTTAGGCTATTTCCAGCATATCACACAGAACAACTGCCTCAAAATTTAGATCAAATCCCATCAATGCTCCACTTAAAGCCCTTCAACAGCTTACCAGTACACAAGAAGAAATATCCAAGTCCTCACCGGGCTCACTATCTCTGGGTCCCAGTTCCTTTAGGCGTCAATTATACATTCCATGTACACACCACTATGTAAGTAAGTCTCAAGGGCTACACACTATGTTTATGGATACCCCTAGGAGAACTCAATGGAGGAAGATTCGAGTTTCTTGAATGTTTGAAAGTGAGTACATACTACTTTTATAATGGTCTATAGTTAAATCCCTATACTTATATTTTAAAAGTCACTCTCCTAACCACACAAAAAAAATTAAAATAAAATGGTCCATAACTCCAAAAACTTGGGTTCTTACTGTATTAATATAAATAAATAAACTAAATGAGCTGTAATATAATGAAAGAATATGAGGTGGAAATACGAAAAATAAACAGGGAAACAAATTTCTGACCAGGAAAACTTCTTACTTACCCATTTAATAYGTGTTCAAAAAGATGGACCTGACCATCTCTGCAAACAACAGCTAACTTGACAGGCTAAAAGAAAAATGTAGCCGATTAACTCAGTGAATAATATGCATTAGTCCCCAATCCATGAAAACTCAATTTTCGTCCCATCCTTTTAAATAATCAGAGGAAAAGAACAGAGAGGATCAACTTAAAAATGATCACCTCTGGCAAAGGAACAATCTATGTGTTACTGTCAGCTGACACTTGTCAGAATTAGCTTCGGGTGCCATCACCTTTTTWAAAAAGTCCTGTTTTATTATTGACAATTTTAAGTATAGTGCCAGTATTATTATTAGATAAAAAAAAATTAAATCTAAATGTAGCAAAGAATTCGGTCATAAAATAAGAAAGCAAAAATACAGTCCATTTTCTAAAGTTATTGAGCATGATTTCTCTTGTTATAGACGTTACTAGAATTTAGATTCAAAGTATCTACCACTAAAAAACCATACACACATTTTAAACTTTTTGGCAAGTGACTTTGTTTAATAACACGGGAATACATACCAAAGTGTTTCTCATTATATTACTTTCCTATGATCAAAACTTCTATAATAAACATGAGATAGTGCACCAATCACACCAAATGTTCTCAAACCTATGACTTTATAAAGTATATAATGGTTACATGTTGGATTCCTAGGATAGTTTTCTAAAAATACTTAAAATAACTGTGTTATCTCCTCGCTATCTGAACTGGATCCTAAAAGACAGAATTCCTTATAGTCAATCACTGATCAACATCCCCAGACTTCCATTATAAAGCCAAGCTTGTAATCCCAACACAGAAACATGCACCCATGTCCAGACATCTCAGGGACTGAGGCAAGAAGATTTAGCATTAGAGGCCAGCCTGGGCAAGCCCCCCCCAGCCCCCTCAAAGGAAAAGGAAAAGGAAAAACACACACACACACACACACACACACACACACACACAGAAAAACCCTGAGTTTGCTAACAGCAGAATCAATATCTAAACCAGTCTCTTAAATTTTTAAATCAATGCTCATTCCACTACAGTACTTTTCAAACATATTAAAACAAGATGAAAAATTTCTAAATCATCTCTAAATCCCTAAGGGTTTGCAACATACAAATTTCCAAACCTCTGTTATGAAATATCCTAAAACTGTCTTAAAAAAACAAAAAGATTCAAAGACTCGGCCCAAATCAAAATTTTACCCAGCTTTAGTCAAACAGACACATGAACATGAAGAACTTCAGTAAAGCCATATTTATTTAATGCTGAAAATTCTAAAATATAAAAAAGCATCAAACAGAATAATGTGGTTTCCCCACCCTCTGTTACTGGGGATTGAATCGAGGGAAGCTCTACCAGTGAGCTACCACCAACCCATTTTATTTTTTGAGACAGTGTCACTCAATTGCCAGGCTGGTCTCAAAGTCTACTTCCAAGTTACTGGGATTACAGACATGTGCCCCTTTGCCCATGGGATGTCATTCTTGGAACAAAACACATCTTAGTTAGGACCTAGAAGGTTTTATAACCAAAAAAATGCATTTGATAAAACAATTTTGTTAATTTACATGATGACTTAAATATATACTACCTTTGTACACAAACCTTCCCCTTCCCTTTCTCTTATAAGAACTTATCACAGTGATGTAATGTTGCTTTCACAGTCTAAGATTTTGGTTACATTTTGTTATTACTCCCTCACATCCATACTTTAAGACTAAAGTTTATAAAATCCAAAAACAATTCTCAAAAATCAAGCCACTTACCTCCTCTTTATTTTCTGACAAAGTCAAGTCAATATAGACAGGTTCATCAGTGACCGTAAAAGACATCACTGCACTTTTTTCTTTGTTTTCTGACCGGACCTGCCTAGAAAACAAAAGCAACCATTAGATAAGAAGACAGATTTACCCAAGAGGGAAATCACAGTATTTGAGTCCCTATAGTTTTTGTTGATCTTTTGAAAGCTGAGTAAGATTATTAAAGGTCAAAATAAGGGGAACATCCATGCCACAACCTTATTAGCATTTGATTAACAACAGCTTGATAAAAGCTTGAAGTCAGACTATGTTAGTCCAACTTTTTTATTTTTGTTTTTCAAAGTCACTTTGACCATTCTTATGTCTTTTTCATCTCTATTTGAGCTTGAGAATCAGCTTGACAATTTCTCTGAAAAAGGCTGATGGGATTTTGGTTTGCATGGAGTCTACAGTCAATTTAGAAATAATTCACTTTATAACATCAAGAAAAAGTGTCCAAAAGCAGACATACTGTGTCTATACCCCCTTCCACACACTCACCATCCTCATTTTTCATGGACTATGTATTTGTGAATTCACATACTTGCTAAAACTTACTTGTAACCCCAAAATTATTGTCTGTGAGCATTCATGCTTATTCAGTCATGTGTGGGAAAATGAAAGCTGCAAGCTGTCCAATGCCCAGCATTTCCAGAAATCTGAACAAGGCTTCATCTGCCTTATTTCAGCTCTTATATAAGAAGTCTACTTAGTGCCATCGTTTCTGAATTTTCATTATATTTGTTTATTAGTAATTTCACTGTTTAAAGTTACCCAAGGGCTGGGGTTGTGGCTCAGTGGTAAAGCGTTTGCCTAGCATGTTATGAGACACTGGGTTCAATTCTCAGCACCACATATAAATAAATAAAATAAAGATCCATTGACAACTAAAATATAATATTTTTTAAAAAAATAGCTACCTAAAAGCATAGTACTAAAGTGTTGAATATGTTCCTAAGTGCAATAAGGTTCTAATGTGCCTTATAGAGAAAATATATGTCAAATAAGACTGAGTAGGAGTCTAATGTTACATCAAAGTTCATACGTACTTGACAGAACAACTATGAATACTGAGAATCAACTGTATACTTGTATGAGTGTGTATATACATAGGCAAAAACAACTCAGTGGAGACAACCTCTTCAAAAAATAGTACTGCAATCACTGAATACCCATAATGGAAAAATATGATCATTAGGCATTTGTGGTAGGAACTGCAATTTACTACCACAATGAAACATCACTACCCATCTATTAGAATGGCTTAAATTAATTGCCATACCAAGTGTTGGTGAGAATGTGAAGAAATTAGTACTCTTATATAGCTATCAGGAATATAAAATGATACAAAACAAAATATGACAATCTTAAAAAATTAAAATGTTCACCTATCATACACTCTAGCCACTGCTCTCCTAGGTACTCACTAAAGAGAAATCATGCCAGTCCAGATTTGTACACAAACATGCATAGCAGCTCTATCTGTAATGATCCTAATCTGTCAACAAACCTGGAAACTTGGGGTAGGGAGGGATTAGCAAAGGACCCAGAAAACTCTTGGGAGCAATGCACATGTTGTCTTGCTTGTGGGTCAAGGTTTTCAAAATATGTACATGTAGATCAAAGCATCAATCTATACATTTTAGAAGTATGCAGTTTACTTAAGTTAGACCTTACACTTTATTTTGTATAAAAATGAGTTAACAAACGTGATTTTACAAACACTATTCAAAAATCAACTTCTTTTCATCAACTTGTAGAAAGTGTATCTTAGCCCATCAATAAGAGATAACATCATCTCCTCAAAGTACTGGGATAGCATGTGCATACCATCAAACCCAGCTTGGTGAGCTGCACTTCTAAATGAGCACTGTTTTGTAAACACATAGTAATTTTATATGGTCAAGGACATGCTCAACTAATTATTACTAGAATAAGAAACTATTTCCATTTTTAAAGACTCTTATTACCTATGAATAGCAGTTGGGAATAAAAGCACCATCAGATGCTGACATAAAATCCAAAAATTTCTCATTTAAAAACTTTGATGGCTCTTTAATATCAAACTAATTTTTATTTTTAAAAATCTCATTTAGAAGAAGATGGATTAAAAGTAACTTCTGAGGGGCTGGGGATATAGCTCAGTTGGTAGAGTGCATGCCTCACATGCACAAGGCCCTGGGTTAAAAAAAAAAAAAAAAAGTAACTTCTGAGTGAATTAGTAACAACTACTACTACAAAAAAAGGGGATTATTGGTAAATCTCAGTAATAAGTCAGGAAAATTTATATCCTCAGCAAACTATCTGTAAATAGATATTATTGCATTAATCCAGTGGCACCACATATTCAACAGAATGAAGTTTTCCTAAAAAAATATTTTAAGCTACTTTTAAACTGCCCAGTCACAAAAATACCGAGACCCCTGCATCTCCAGAGAGGTTATATTATGTAATGTTCTTAAGTGTTTTCAAAATATGTTTTTTAGGCAGACTAAATTCTTTATTACAAGTCAAGGTAATTCCAATTAAATGCAATAAAGCAAGTTTCATACTCTTTTTTATTAACCACATAAGCTTTGACAAATTTTAAGGCAAAGCTGTGTCCCAAATTCAAAAGAATCACCTACCAGACATTAAGTAACCGGTCATGCACTGCTCCAGATAAGAAATAAAGACCTGTAATTCCATCAAAGGGCTGGCTCTCATTAGGAGGTCTGATAGTAGTGAACATAAGTGATGAAACTGGTGTCGCATGTCCTGTGAAGTGCTAGAAAGTTAAATCTTATTTAGGAGAGGATGGATTCAAAGCACTACAAACATTAAAATTCCCTAGATATCATCATAAATAAGCTCTAAATGATATTATCTAACAAAAGAGCTCTACAGGGAAGTAAGAATTCTATTTAATAGTAAGCAAATTATATTATTWGTTATAATCCCCTCTTCTTAAAAATAAAATAAAAACTCTGAAAACACTGAAAATTAAGATGTTCCTTTTAATTCCCATGATCCTACCACATTAACTTTATTTCTTCCATTTTTTTTTTAACAATGTTGAGGATTAAAACAAAAGGTCTCTCACATGCTAGGCAAGGGCTCTACCACTGAGCTACATCCCCAGCCCCAGTTCTACGCATTTCTCAAGTGTGCTCAGGTGCTCAGACACAGCCAAGGAATTGTAGGTCCTCATTTTACTCTCAGTGAGTCGAAACCACAATTTTAAGGCATCATCACAGCACCAAAAGTTGAGTAACCTCTGAATTCAACTGTTTTTCCCTCCTAATACTAATCTCCATAGTTAAACACTATAAATGGACCAAATGCTGGATACAAGCAAGAAAACAAAATTACCACAATCCTTTCATGGTAGAATAGATTTTAAATTCAGAGTCCATTTGTTTATTTTATTCATTTTTTTGAAAAATGCAAACTTGTCTATAATGTACTTAATATCAATGAATCAAATTTGGAGGCTAATTGTTATCTAATTGGTGTACCTAAAAATTTAAAAATCTGTTTGGGCTGGTTGCCGGGGGGAGGGGTGGGTTGAGATGGGGATCTCATTAGGCTGTCCAGACTGGACTCAAACTCCGGGGCCCAAGCAATMCTGCTGCCTTAGTCTGCCAAGTGCTGGAACTATAAGATACCATGGAGCATGACTAAGAATTTGTACTTATGGAACAACATTCTACGACTCAAACTTCTTTATCTTTCTCTTACATACTGTATATGATTGTCAGCTTAGAAAATAATTTGACTCACTCTGTAGACTTCTTTGGTCTCCAAAACCCATAGTTTGATTGTTCGACCAGCTGAAAGCAACATTTTTCCATCTGGGCTGATACACAGGGAAGTGACGCTGCTATTGTCACCTTTCCATTTGCTGTATAGTGAAGAGAGGTAAACACATCTCACTGATAGGGCAAAACAAACCATAAAACAACAACAAAAAAAACAAGCAATAAAAATACCATCTGAAACCCTAGGACAATTGCATCCCCTAAAATCCTGTGTTAAGTTCATAATCCTAGACATATACCAGAGTGAAGTCTCCTTCATAGGTTCCTCTCAACATGGCATATTATGAAGAARAGGATAAAAAATTCTCCCATCTTATAGGCTTTTGTAGGTATCCCATATATTTTTGATGATGAGCCATAATGGGTTAAAGCATAAAATGCACTAGAGAATAACATTCTACACACTGACATTTTAAGGCCCTTCAATCAAGCCACAAATAAGGCCCCAACAATTGAGTCACACATCCACACCAAAACCTTCCAATCAGCTTTTTTAATTTTTAAGATGCAATAGGCAGCCAAGGATCTCCAGCAATTTAAAGAATGCCTTCAACATGAAAAATAGACTAAATCAGACAAATCACCACACATCACCCTCAAAGGATGATTATAAAGAGAAAAAAATTGAAATATTACATTATTTTCAGAGAACTAAAAAAATTCAATGATAAAGAAATATAGAAGAAATTTTAAAAAAACCCTCCTTGAAGTTAAAAATACAAGAGAAATTATAAATTCCATAAGTTTTTTTGTCCCCCCCCTCCGTACTGAGGACTAAAACCAAGGGTGCGGGCTGGGGATATGGCTCAGGTGGTAGCGCGCTTGCCTGGCATGCGTGCGGCCCGGGTTCGATCCTCAGCACCACATACCAACAAAGATGTTGTGTCCGCCGAGAACTAGAAAATAAATATTAAAAATTCTCTCTCTCTCTCTCTCTTTCCTCTCTCACTCTCTCTTTAAAAAAAAAAAAAAAAAAAACAAGGGTGCACTACCACTGACCTGCATACCCACTTTTTTTTTAATCTTATCCACTGATAAAGTCTACAGCCACAACTTTTTTTTTAAAAGACAGAGAGATAGAGAGATAGAGAGAGAGAGAATTTTAATATTTATTTTTACTTTTCAGCATACAAACATCTTTGTTTGTATGTGGTGCTAAGGATCGAACCTGGGCCAGGCAAGCATGCTACCACTTGAGCCACATCCCCAGCCCCCCCCCTTTTTTTTTTAACTTTTTGTTTTGAGACAGAGTCTCACTAAGTTGCTAAGGGCCTTGTTAAGTTGTTGGCCTTGAGCCTGCCTCAGCCTCGAGTCTCTGGCATTACAGGTATGCACAAAACTACGCCTAACTCAACAGAAGATTTTGAAAATGAAATTGAAAAAATTAAACAGACAACAAATAAAAAGGCAAAATGAAAAACCAGAGAAAACAAGTCAGAAATTGCAATAATCAGCTCAAAAAATACAAGATCTGAAAAACAGTATATAGTAATAGGGACTTAAAAAATAGTGAATAAAATTATCTAATGAATAGTACAAGAAAAATGGAGCACGTGAATTTCTAGGCTGCCAGGCTAAATGGTCTCATCCAGCACCAATGCAATTAATTAATTAGAGAGCACATAAAATTACAGAATACCCAAAATAATTAAGACTGAAAAGACAATGGAACAAACACCTTCAAAGTCCTAAAGGAAACCAGGGTAATCCCAGCCACTCCAGAGGCTGAGAGGTGGGAGGATCACTGGAGCCCTGGCAACTCCATGAGGCCCTATCCCAAAATGAAACAAAATAAAACATTCTGAGGGAAAGTAATTTCAAACTAAAATCATTATCCTCAAACTATCAATGAAGAAAGTAGAATTAAAATGACAACAGTGAGTAAACAAAATCTCAAGATTCACCACAAACACACCCTTCTCCTTAAGAAGCTATCGACTAGTGTTCCCTAACCAAGAGAGGGGAAAATGTCATCCAGGCAACAGAGGCTCAATCTAATAAGAGAAATTTTTCAGGATGATGATGAAAGCAAATCTCAAAATAGTGGCTATTCAGCAAACCCAGGACAACAGAAATTCTCCCAAGAAATAAATAAAACTAATTGATGTGTCTAAATATAACTGGAAGATTTACACTACTGTTAAGAATGAGAGTAAACTAATATCAGGTACATATTAAACTATGTGAAGAAAACTATGTGATAAACCCCAAGAAAAGAAAAATTTTGTACAAGAAAATGCAAACCTGGGATAATCCAAACCTCAGCTTTAACAATAAGGAATCATAATATAAACAACAAATACTGCTGAACCAAATCTAATCTAATATAATAACAAGAGAAGGAAGACATATAAGAGAGTTAAATCCTCATCTTCCACAGGAGGAAATAAGTAGATAGTATCTAAAATGCAGGGAGGGGGGGTGTCAATTAACAGAAGCATAAGAATGTTAAGGATAAAGCTGTAAACAAATATTTTAAAAGAGCACAGTTTAAAAGGCAAGAGGTCAAGCTCTTCATCTATTTCTCAATTATAAAGTAGGGACAAAGCCAACATCACTGTATTATGATTAAACACAACGGTCTAAACTGTTGAACAATGTGCCTTGAACATTACTCGTCTCCATGTGAAGAAACCAACTTCATGAATTCTCATCCAGAATATGACAACACAGGTCCCATTCCAGACCCTCTGGATCTGACAGGTATTTCAAGCAGGTCACCAGTATAAAAACTACTGTTACAGGTAAATGGAGTGCAAATAGTTTCCTCACCAGTACCTCCAGTCCTGAGCCCTCCCCTTAAACTCTAAGCCTGTCACCATCCTGACTGCTAGGTCTTGTCTTTCACATGATTTCAAATTCAACTTGTCTAAAAACCCCCCAAACCACTTCCTTCTTCTGACTGTAATTTTTATTAATTTGATATTTCTATCCTCTACCATGCATGATCATCTAGTCTGCACCTCCTTTAAATTACTCACTACACAAGTAAATGTTTCACTTTTCTATCTCTTGGCCTTTGCTCTTGCTATCTACTCACTTTCCTTAATCTACTATTAAAAGGACTCTCCTGCCCTCCTCTATCCAAATTCTATCTGTCCTAGTCCAACTGACATCCCTTCTATTCCACCAGGACTTCAACACTACTGTACTCATCTGAAAAATAACCACATGCTACCTTTATTAAGCCTTAACCTACATCCATTCATTATAGTTAAAGTAATTACTCAAAATCATGTAAGCTACTTCCAAATAAAATCTCTTCTACAATTATTTTCCCCTTGTACCATTTCACTTTTATGTACTAAAATCTTGCAGGCCTAATTTGATTAAAGATTCCCTGAGAACAGTATATAATCTTATTAATGTGTTTATTCCCCATTTTGTCTAGCAGGATTTACCAAACTCTTGTTATATTTCCAAATGGTAAATAAGTCCGCCACCAATTCCAGAGCCATCGGTGCTACTTACCACTTTACTTTGCATGTCTGTACGTTCCATTCCACAATATATTTATCATCTGAACAACTATATAAGCAGCCACTGTCTTCATGCCACTGTACACAATTGATTCTGTTGTCATGTCCACCACTCTGCAGGTTAAAAAAATAAAAATTATGGGCTGGGGTTGTGGCTCAGTGGTACAGCACTCGCCTTGCACGTGCGAGACCCTGGGTTCAATCCTCAACACCACATAAAAATAAGTGAAATAAAGGCGTTGTGTCCAACTACAACTAAAAATAAAATATTAAAAAAAATTAAAGAAAAAATAAAAGTTGTAACCAAAATGTTAGGTCTTAATTAAGCCTTAACCTACATCCATTCATTATAGTTAAAGTAATCACTCAAAATCATGTAAGCTACTTCCAAATAAAATTACTCTTACTTACAAAGGAGAATATTTTAAAACATTAAGTTCAATTATTTCCCTTCCCTCTTATCAGCTGTCTAGTCAAAGAACTCATTCCTATATTATACACAAAGGATATGAATATGTAAATTCCACAGAAAGAATTCAGAAATATGTATCAAATATATCAAAATGCTCAATTTTGTTAGTAATCAAATACAAACCAAAACAAAGTAGCATTTTTAGTCTGTTCATCTAGCAACTTATCATTATACTGCCTGTGTTGGTGACATAATAAAAATGGCCTTACAATATATTTCTGGTGGCAGTGAAAAATTAGTGTCCTTTTGAAAGCAATTTAGCAATGTATCCTTTCATCCACTTACTCATTCAACAAACCTTTAACAAATACCATTACATGCCAGGCACTTTAAATACACTATTATGTCCAAGTCACAAGGCAAGTTATCCAATACCCATTTAAGAGATGATAAGTTAATTTACCTATGAGCACTTTGTGTGTGTGTGTGTGTGTGTGTTGCTAAGGACTGAACCCAGGGCCTTGTGCATACACTCTACCAACTGAGCCATACCCCCAGCCCCTACCCATGATCACTTAACTAGCAGGAGTCAACCTCAAAACAAACTAGCTCCAGTGCCTGCATGGTCCTTTTCTATTTTACCAAACCATCACAACACTGTTCATCACCCTGCCTCTGAGTTCCTCTGTGATCCCTCTTAAAGATATTCTTATAATCCTGTGTGGTATTTTTTTCCTCTGACATTTTTTATAGCTTTATTTTATTTATTTATTTTTATTTGGTGCTGAGGACCAAACCCAGGGCCTTGCATGTGAGAGGCGAGCACTCTACTGCTGAGCCATAACACCAGTCCCCCTGTGTGGTATTAAAATGACTTCAAAAAGAACTTCTAGGCTCCATCAGCATCATGCCCAGGGCCAAAGCAACTACTTCAYTGCACAGGATGATATAAATCTGTTGTCCACAAAAACTGACCAAAGGATGGTTTCCTAACTACAGTGGGATAAGATCCCACCTGATGATCACCCTAACTGGGAAAGAAGAGACAAATAAAGGGAGAGTTCCTTCCTGCTACACAGATCTTGAATGCTTTACTTTTTAACAGCTGGGTATTATTTGTATAATTTGTAATACACAAACAGAAGACTTCTAAAGGTAGATCTAAAACTCAAATAAAACTTTTCCTCTACCAAATTAGTTGGGGATTTTTTTTTTTTACTGCTGCTGTTTCAATGGAATATTCATGGTAGAAATAAAGCTACTGAGATATAGGTATTGTCCTTCCATTGCTGATAAAAGTAAAAATTAAGGAGACTCTTTCAGAAATCAGCCATAACACTCAAACTCTTTGTCACCCTAATTTTAAGTTAAGAATTCAGGAAATCCATTGGACAGAAAAATAAAAGTCATTTTTTTACAACAACAACAAAAAAAGAAATTCCCAAATGGTCGGTTAACAGTTACATGACAAGTGGACTATCCAGTTCAGTGGGAATTTAGACAGTCATAATCATTAAAAACATTTATAACTGGGCTGGGGATGTGGCTCAAGCGGCAGCGCTGTCGCCTGACATGCGTGCAGCCCGGGTTCGATCCTCAGCATCACATACAAATAAAGATGTTGTAACCATCAAAAAACTAAAAAATAAATATTAAAATTCTCTCTCTCTTAAAAAAAAAAAACATTTATAACTAGTTCTTGAAAATACAGTCTGATCTCTAGCTACATCCATTTTTCTGCAAATGACATGATTTCATTCTTCTTCATGTGAATAGTACACTGTAATTACATTGTTTTTTCAATAATCTCTAATAATTCATTTCCTTGCCATTATTTTCTATATAAAATATACTTACTATTAATTTACTATGTAATTCTCCTTTTACTGTACTGTACAACAAAATGCTACCAACTGCTGTACCAAGAGCCAGCAAGTCAATCTGGTCACTCGTTCCTACAGCTTCTGATTTCCTTTTTTTCCTCTGGTGACTTTCCTATAAAAAAATTTTAAAAAATTTATTAGCATTTCAAACACTAAAACATAATTAATACATAAGCATTAAAGCCCACTATCCCACAAGACATTTTAAAAAGGAGAAAAGGCAAGGATTCACTCTCACATAATTTCTCAATACTTTAAAACACACAGACACACACACACTCCAAACTCCAATGGGAAGGGAAACTCAAAATTCTCCATCCCTCTCTCACACCTTTCTGAAAGGAAAGAGCAAACAAGTCAGACACAGAAAGTCAAGTATTGTTTTCTCTTGATACTTTCTTAAGTCTAAGCTGCRTCAATATTCCTTCCACTTCTCAGTAATCGACCAATCCTCCTGACAGGTACTAAGTGAAGTTCCACAAGAAACCCATATCCAAGGATCTATGAATCCACAGATCTATACCTAAGCAGCCAACTTTTCCCCACCCCTTCCCAATCTTTCCTCAAATTCAAGAAATGGAATTCAAACAATTTTATATTTATAAGCATACATTAAATTTAATATCAGTCAACAAAATAGTTGTAGCTAGCAGAGAAGCTCTGAGTATAAACCAGGGAAGTTGCTCCAATATCTGATCAAGGGCCTGAGTTCCATGCTGGCTCAGTAATTCTGATGATTGAAAAGGCAAAAGTTTCCATCTACTAGCAAATGCTGCAAGACTTCTTTTGATTTATTTCAAATGTGATGCTAACAGTTTGTATTCTCTATCAAAATGACAATCCATGATCACAACTCACAAGTACAGATCTGAGTTCATAATTCTGAAATATATGATTTTAAAACTTCTTCTTCTTCTTCTTTTTTTTTAAATTAAAGCTCACCAGTCTGTATGTTTTGGTATAAAAGAAGCTCTGAGAAATCTATTCTCAGATCCTCCTGTCTTGGCCTCCCAAGCTGCTAGGATTACAGGCATGCACCACAGTCTCGGGCTGACAATTCCATTCTTTTAGCATAAACTGTCCAGTAGAAAAGGGAACACTTTCTTAATAGTATAGGATCTCTCTTCTCTATAGCATAAAAATCTAGGAAATATAAAAATTTACCCCATCCAAGAAACAAAATGAAAACTACAATGTTATCAGTATATAAAGACTATCAGAGTAAATTTCTAGAGAATTTTCAAATTTTTTCCTTTTAGTTATCCTATGGGGATGCTACATTTGAAGAATTTGATTTATCAGACACTCAGATGAACAAAAAGAAGTAACTTTTTTTTATTACAGAATAAAAATAACATTTAGCTATTCTTTAGCAATGTATCTACATTAACAAACCCAAAAAGGATGTTACAATTAAAAGACAAAGTGTAAACAGTCTAATCTAATGTCGCATCAGTAACRTTTAATCTGCTTGAATAATGAAACTTTTGTATTAGAAGTGTCCCACAACCCCAACTTCACTTACATGAATTTCTAAAGCTACCTGTGAATAATCCCAGAGAAAAATGTGGTTTCTGCATTAAGGTTATAAACACAAACAGCTATTTCATAAAAGGGCAGTAGGGAGAAGTATATTAAACAACTGTARGTTGAGCATCCTTAATCTGAAATTTTGGAGCACTTTAAAGATTTCAGATGGGCTGGGGATGTGGCTGAAGCGGTAGCGCTCGCCTGGCATGCATGCGGGCCGGGTTCGATCCTCAGCACCACATACCAACAAAGATGTTGTGTCCGCCGAGAACTAAAAAATAAATATTAAAAAAAAAAGATTTCAGATTTTTCAGATCAGGGATGCTCAAATGGTAATGTCTATGCAAATATTCTAAAATCCAAAACGTTCTGAATTCTGAAACACTTCTAGGCCCAAGCATCTCAGATGAGATACTCAATATGTGCTACCTTATCAAAAAACTCTAAAAGAATTTTCTTTAGAGAAGAGTCTAGAAAAACCAAATTATCTATACTGACCTTTTTTTTTTTACTGTGTAAAGATTTGTCCAAATGTGTATATGCTTTAACCACAGATTTGAATTTACATTAAAAGCACTGAGAAAGAAAGGAAGGAAGGAAGAAATTAAACATTAACATAACCAAATCCCTGATTTTCTTATGTGCGGAATCTACTTTTGGCAGAAACAAGAAAAGGCAGGCAGGAGTATTCTATATATGAAATATATATATATATATATATATATATATCTTTATTTATTTTTATGTGGTGCTGAGGATCAAACCCAGCGCCTCACACATGCCAGGCAAGCACTCTATCACTGAGCTACAACCCTAGCCCCAAGCCCACAAGATCTATATGCAACTTTGAGGAAAACCGTCTAAAGCTAAATAATAATTCAATTAATTTCACATAGCTATTAACTTGCATTTTTTTTCAGTTAGATGATCTTTTTAAAAATAACTTCCCACTCAGCAGGATAGGCATGTCCTAACATGTAACACATGAACCAGATCAGAAGTTTATATAACCAATGTGCATTTTAGTGAAATCTTAATATTTTAGGTACAACCCCACATTAAATATTTCTTTTTTTTTTTTTTTATTGGTCGTTCATAACATTACCACATTAAATATTTCTGAAACCAAGGTCAGTACTACTGATTCCAATTCTATCCATACATCACACCCCCTACATGTGTTTAAAACTTCCTCATTTTGCTTTTCCCTTTACTTGAAGGGGCCTTCTCCTACTCGCCTTAATTTTCATTGGTTAAGAATTCTATCTATGCTTCAAAGTCTACCTTAAATACCATCTCCTACAGAAACCTTCTTTTCCTTAAGAAATAAATCATGCTCTGCATCACAGACACAGTAAAATTGAGTTATCTTTTTTCTTCTTTCATCTTAAGTCACACACAGTTGTTTCCTTTCTTAGAGTACCTAGAAATGTCAGGTCCCAACTGACCAGATGTGTAAAAATATAAAGTAATGAGAAATGCTGGCTGAGAATTTAGTTCATAACTATAAACTCTAAGTGAAGGTATCAGGAATGAAGACTAAAAGAATGTGATTTCTTAAATTAACACACCTTGTCCAACCTAAGGGCAGACTGAGCTAAGCACAAATAGCACAAACCTATCTGATGAAAGCTTCTGAACATTAGACCCAGAAGACAATAAGAACACTGAGGAGTTAGCTCACTGGTAGAGTGCTTGCCTAGCACCCTACATACATAAAATAAAAAGAACAACAACAACAACACACAAACAATGAGAAAGAATATGAATAGAATACATGCTTGATTTTTAATGCAAGTAGTAGTAAAAATGACGTGAAGAGACCATGAAACATCCAAGTGACAAGAAGTTTGAATTTGATCCAGATTTAAGCAATGGCTTAGACTAAAATCTCAAAGTAGAGTTTACATACGCATGAAGAAACCAGTATGCACTCATGAAAACATGATATATATAAATGAAACAAGCTTCACAGAAAAACTTATTATGAGTAGGAATTCTCTGATGTTTTCCATCCTCATTTTTTTAATGTGGTCACAACCCACTATTATCTATCTCAGAATCCACTAATGGATCAAAACTTACTTTGAAAAATACTGACTCCTAGATATCAAAAATTACGACCAAGTTTACATTTGTACTTGGCAAATAGCTTCCTATTCCACTTCTTGGCTTATCTTACTGATACTTATTCTGGCATATGTAGAACTATGATGTGAAATAGCGGGGAAAAACTTTACATTTTACATAAAATTACAAATAATATTTATAACAAAATAATTAAATTCTAATATAGAGAAACATCTATTTCTTCCAACTGAATCTAAACTGTGATCTTTACCTTCTTTTGAAGTTTAAATACTGGAGACCTCAAGAGAGCACAGCAACACATTTGAATTGTGCTACATCTCTAAGAGACAGCAATGGTGATACCCAGCTCAGATTTTTTTCCTAGAAATATACTTAATGCTACCACATGGGCTCTGTCCAATCTCTGATACGCACTATGGGCTTCCTCCAGTAAGTACTAAGCTGTGTAGGGTCATATAACTGCACTGAGATTAAAGCAGTATAAAAATGTGTACTGTGGTAGCCAACAATAGGCAAAGTCTATTCCTCTAGGGTTCTACAGTCAGTAGGGAAGGAAAGTAGAAAAGTGTGTGACTTAAGGGAGCAATGAAAAAGGATCCTTTCCTAGGTGGCTCAGCCATCTACTGTATAACTCTGCCCTGACACTAACAACTCAGCCTCAGTTTATACATATAAACTCTGGAAACTAAAACTAATGTGGCATAAATACAAAGTATTATATCAGTACTTGGGATATAGCTCAGTTGCTCGAGTGCTTACTTCACATGGACAGGCCCTGGGTTCAATCCCCATCACAACAACAAAAAAAGTATTTCATTCTGTAACCAAGAACAAAAAATGGCAATCTAACTTTTCTAAATATTTATAAACCAACCATTACATTAACCCACTACTTAAGAAACCCAGCTCATATTTCTTTTCATATAGATAAGAATATCATCATATGTTTTGTCTCTCCTTGGGTAGCAAACTGCCAATTAATAAACCAAATGCAGGATATTCCTATAAAATTTACAGTGTGAATACAACATTAAATGAGTCCACACAGAACAGTCACTGATTCATTCAATAATAACATTTACTGAGTACTTATTAYGTGCCATACTTTACTACACAGGCCATGTACACTGCCTTACTTAATGCAGAGAACCCTGAAAGTAGGGTGGAATTATCTCTACTTTTGGTTTGAAAGTGGACAACATGCCAGGATCTTAACAAAACGCTGGAAATGTGGACTTTGTAATAATATTTTTTTTCATGCCTCACGCTTTAAACCTCAAGGATATAAAAATAAGGTTTCATAAGAAAAAAGCATCTTGGGCTGGGGATATAGCTCTATTAGTAGAATGCTTGCCTTGAATATACACAAGGCCCAGGATTCAATCCCCACCTCCACCCCCCCAAAAAAAGAAAAAAGCATCTTGACACTTATGTGGCAAGGAACATAACCCAGGAAACTGGGAGTAGAGATTGAGCAGCTGCTAAACAATTACTCATTTTGTACCATTAAAAATCATTTGACAGGGGGCTGGGATTGTGGCCTAACACAGGCAGGACCTAGGTTCAATCCTCAGCCCCACACAAAAATAAAGGCATTGTGTTGTGTCCATCTACAAAATCTAAAAAATGTTTTTTTTTTTTTTTTTTTTTAAATCACTTGACAGGGCTAGGGTTGTGGCTCTGCAGTAGAGTGCTCACGTAGCACGTGCGAGGCCCTGAGTTCGATCCTCAGTGCCACATAAAAATAAATAAAATTATTGTGTCCATCTACAACTAAAATATAAACATTAAAAAAAAATTGATTGACAGCCAGGTATGGTGGCAAATACCTAAAATCCCAGCTACTCAAGAGGCAAGAAGATTACAAGTTTGAGGTTAGTTTGGGCAGCTTGGCACAACCTTGTCTCAGAAAATAAAGAAGGGCTGGGATGTACCTCAATGGTGGCACTGCCCCTGGGTTCAATTCCCTTTGTCCCCTTCCTCAAATTGTATGGACTTTAATTCTACACCATAATATATGTGTAAGCCTGTTTTAATACAGCAAAACTGACTCTCATTCTTCAAGTAAAACTGATGATCCAGGATGTCATATCGCCAAGATGATAGGAATTAGGTTCTCTATAATCCTCTCAGAACAAGAAGAGGAGTATACAGGCACTGAACTAGAAATCAGAGTATGATGACTCTAGTGACCACAACTACTTCATTAGTGACTAAGGTTTTGGTTAATTCATTTAACTTTCATAATTCTGACCCACCAATCTGTTTTTTAAAGTTTAGTAATTTTAGGGAATTTCATATTTATATTGCTAAAATAAGAGCATACTAGTAAAAGGAGTCTTAAACCTAGAACATTGTGTGTGTGTGTGTGTGTGTGTGTGTGTGTGTGTAAGTGAGAGATCATGGGAACTGAACACCTGCTATACCATTGAATTGCATCCCCAGTGTAACTTTCATTTTCATAAGACCTTCCAAATTAAAGCAACTTAATATGACAAAAGGAAATCTGAAATCAGTCCTGGTTATAAAAACAAATCCAGTTGTGCATATAATTCCCAACTATCATTCATAATTTGAGACTAGGAAAAAGTTTCATTCCTGACATACACTGTGAGTTGAAAGTCAACAGAAAAGTGGAGGACAAGTTTTGGACAATCTAATAATATTAATTATATGTTGCACTTAACTAAAAACTGAGCTTTAAAGATCTAAATTCTAGCCCTGGTTCCATTTTTTGGTTTTATGCAAGTTGCTGTGTTAACTACCTTGCAAAATTAACTATACAAATATACTAATAATATTTAATACTTACAGCATCAGTGCTTTCTGCATTATTAAATATATTACCTTACATAACTTCTCAATGTATATAATCCTCATTTCATAAAGGGAGAACTAGAAGCAGAATTATTATGATGAAGGAGAGCCTGGATTTAACAGAAATGTTAAATTACATTTGAAAACAATTTTAAAAAGAAAAAATATGCAGAATGCTGAAGTTCTAATAATGACAACAAAAACTTTACAAGGCCTAATTTATGACCCTTGATAAATGTCCTTTATCAATCAACAGGAGATACCATGCAAACAGAACTTAAAGTCAAAAAATATCTGAAAGAATTCACCCAAGTATAGCAAGTAAAGATGTATCCCCACTTTCACCCAAAAATTTAGCATGGGCTCTTCTGGTGGTCAGAGTATGATCTATCCTAAACATAAGTGTTGAAATTTGACAACACAGTTATGACAAAATGTCACACTTTAGGATACTTGATGCTTCTAATCCATGTTGAAGTGAATCGGTTTGGCTACTCTATTAAGGGCAGTAAGCACGTGCGAGTGAGTTTGAGTGGATGTAATCCGGTGATTCAACAGAGAATTTACCTGACAATGAAAAGATTTCCCTAACTCSGCAAATTCCAATCTACAGGAAATTTCACCTGGATTTACATCATATTCACCAAGTCAAGCTACTACATTTTAACTCCAAATGCTAATGAAGAATTCAAGATGAGACAAGGACTAAAAAGAGGGAGCCGAGCAGAAGTTAAACATAAGAAACTCTGAAAGGCTGAGAATGAAAAGGATATTGGGAAAGTCCAGAGTTTAGAGCGTAAGAGCCCTGTTAGCCAAACGCGTGAGAGAACACGTGTTGAGCCGGCACCCAGGAGGATGGGGTCCCGGAAACAAGAAAACAGACTTGTTCATTACAACTGTCCAAGAAAAACCAATACTCTTGAGTCTGCGATAGGAATGAGCAGTATAGTTCCAAGATGGGGCTCTGTCAAAAGCCAGGGCTCTGATGAGCGCATGCGGATGAGTGGGGCCTGGCTGAAGGAAGCCACCCCTGGGGGGTCAGGGGCCTTGGCGAACATGGCGGCCCAGCGACAGTGGGACGCAGACCGCATGGAGCCCGCCGGATCGAACCGCGCCCTCTCACTGCCCTCCAGACAGGCCGTACACAGGCGGCGAGGTAGCCCAGTGCCCGCYGCCACAGTGCTCAGTGCCTCCCTGCCCTGAGGCAGCGAGGGCCCAGAATGGTGCGGGGCCGMGGGTCGCCCTACCCGGGGGCGCCAAATCCTGATCAGAACGAGCGCCCTCCCCCACCGCGGTCCCGCTCGCACTACCTTGGCCTGCAGCCGCGCTGGCGCCCAGGCCAGGCAGGTGCAGGTACCGCTGAGGTGCGCGGAAGGCACGTACTCCTGATGCAGTCGGTTGTTGGCTGTCTCCCACACTCTCAGGTGACCGTCGGTAGAGGCCAAAGCGAAGTAGGCCTGTCTGCCAGGGGAGAAGGCGCAGGGGACCCCCGCAGGGGCCAGAGGGTCGCAGCTATCGCCACCACCCGCCGCCATTGCTGTTCTGGGTCCGCGGCAGCCACGTGTTCGTCCGTGCGCAGGCGCACCGGCGCGGGGCGGATCCTAAAGAGAGGAAGTGGGGCGGAGGGAGTGCCGGGATCTGTGGGCGTGGCTCGTCACGACGCAGGCGAGCGTTGGGCGGGTCTACCCTGTGGACGGTGGCCGGGTAGGACCTAGGGCTAACGTTCGGGAGCGTAAGTGTGTGAAAGGAAGTGGCTATCTATAGCATGCAGAGCAAGACCCATTACTTTAAAAACTTTTATAAAATGGTTCAACGAAATATTTAAAAGAAACATTTATCTATAACTTCGTGATTGTGACAACTGTTTTCATTTTCCCCTATTCATTTCCAGGCTATAGATAAGTACACAGTAATAATTTCTTCTGTCACAGTAGTGTAAAAGTCATGGCATGAGCAGCTTCTTCCTCTTATTTCGTTGAGAGTCAACCCGTGTTGCTACAGCAAATAGTCAAAATTTCTTTTTTATTTTTTTTTTTTTTTTTTCAGTTTTCGGCGGACACAACATCTTTGTATGTGATGCTGAGGATCGAACCCAGGCCACACGCATGCCAGGCAAGCGCGCTACCGCTTGAGCCACATCCCCAGCCCAAAATTTTAAAAAWTTTTTTAAAAATTCTTTTTTAATGTTTCTTTACTGTTTTACCAAATCAATGCATCCAATTCGAGAAACACCAGGTACAGGAGTATAGTGGTACAGGACTTGCCTAACTTGAATGGGGGCGAGTCAGGTACTGTTTGGCCCACTCAGAGCTTATTGTCTTGCAGTCAAGGCAAAGGACAGTGGTAGGTAGGACTCTGATAAAAGCAATGAAGCTGATGAAAAGTGGTCAGATTCCAGATGTAATCTGAAGTTAGAGTCCAAAGGACTTGCTAAATGGATTGGTGTGACCGGTGAGGGAAAGAAATGGGTAAAGAATGATTTTAAAATCGGAGCAAGGGCTGGGGATGTAGTCCACTGGTAGAGCATTTACTTGCCTACCTTAGATGAAGCCTCGGTTAATCTCCAGCACCACAAAAAGAAAAAAAAAAAAAAAACTGGACAAATAAGTGAAAGGTAATACTATTTTGCGAATAGTAGAAAAGATCACAGAGATATAAATTTTGACTGCATTAGAATACTGATACTATTCAAAACCATGGGACTGGAAAGGTCATGTTCAATGTGAATAAAAAAGTGAACTTAGTCCCAAGCTAAGAAGTCAGGAAGAGGAAGAACATCCAGAAAAGTAGATTGAGAAAGGATGACAATAAAGAGAGATGAAAAGCCTAAGAGAATTAAGAATCTCTTAGGAAAATAATTTTTGTTTTCCCTGAAAAACAAATTTTTATGATAATTTCAGAAGCAAAACATGATAAAGCCATGTCAGGTACTGTAATATAAACATTAAATTAACCAGTGATCTTGGCAAGATCAAGATCATTGGTAATTTTTTAAGAATTTTTGTTTAAAGAGAGAGAGTGAAAGCGAGAGCAGATGTGAGTCTACATAAAAAAGGTCTGGCTTGGGGGGCTAGGGATATAGCTCAGGGGGTAGGGTGCTTGCCTTGCATGCACAAAGTGCTGCATTCAATCCCCAGCACCAAAAAAAAAAAAAAAAAGTCTGGCTGGGTGCATGGCATGTACCTATGAATCCAGCCACTTTAAGGTTGAAGCAGGAGAATTGCAAGTTCAAGACCAGCCTGAGTAACTTAGTGAGACCCTGTCCCAAAATAAAATAGAAAGGACTGGCACTGTAGCTCAGTGGTAGAGCACTTGTGCACAAGACCCTGGGTTTGATGCCCAGAACCAGAAAATAAAAATAAGAGCTTATTTTACATTTGCTATATGTTAGGCAGTGATCTAAGTAATTTATGTGTATTGATTCACTTGGTCCTCACAATAGCCCCACAATGTAGAAACTATCAATATCTCCCTCCATTAGATAAGAAAAGTAAWGAAACTGGGAAAGGATGAGCTGGATTTCTAACCAAGTTATCTTTGGACACTGACTACCTTACCTGATGAGTGCACGTAGGGTTCACATAAATGACCCTTCCACACCCAAGCAAATCAATTCCTAGACTGCTCCCCTTCAGTGATCTTGATTTCTACTCTGCATGAGCTACTCACTCTAATGGTCATATCTCTAACCTTGTCATTATGATAACTGAACCACCTTCATAATCTCAATTTCCACACCCTGCTCTCTTACTGCCATCCCTCCTATTTCCAGCTCACTCATTCTGGTTTACATATTACAGCCAATATTTATATCACCAACCCCATAATTTTCTCATCAACCCTCATACCTTCTCCCTTCATTTTTAAGTTGTATCATTGTAACCTTCAAACCCCTTGCCTCTTATATTACAGTCCTTCCTTGGTAAAACTGCAAGCCTAACAAAATCTTACTCTCTACCCACAAACACCTAAAAATGACTAGAGATAAGCCACAGCCACTCTAATGTGATACTTAGCCACTTTAAATTCATGATTCAAAATATTGGGCTCCAGTCCAGTCCCTTCAACATTCCAAGACACTTAAGTCTTATCTTCTAACACCTCAAACCTCCTAATCCATCTTTGCTCTGGGTAGATGACTTTGCTTCCTATTTCTTGGGAAAATAGAAGCAATCACAAAATAATTTCCACAAGCTACCAGTACCTGCATCCCTACCCACCTACATTCCATCTCTTCTGGTACTATGGATAAACTATCCATGTTCCTGCCAAAGACCACCCCTCCACTTAAATTCTAGATTCTMTCTCCTCTTTCCTATTCAAATATGTTACTACAAAAAAGTCTTTTCTCTCCCTGCTGGCATCAACTTTTACCTCTCAACTTCCTCCTCATAAACATATATACATGCTATTATTCCCCCTCTCCCCCAGGTACCGGGGATTGAGTCCATCRGTATTTTACCATTGAGCTACATTCCTTCCCCTTTTTTATTTTGAGACAAGGTCTCACTAAGTTACCTTGGCTGGCCTTGAATTTTCTGTTCCCCACAACAGGTTCAGGGAATCAAACCCAGTGCTTCTAGTATACTAGGCAAGTATTCAACCACTAAGCTACATCCTCAGTCCACTCCTTCCTTAATAATACTTAGACATCTGGCTTTAAATACCATCCATATGCTGATGATCCCAAATGTATAACTCTAGCCTGGGTCTTTTCTCTGAATTCCAAATGTGCACAACTTGCATATTGAATTCCCTATTCAAGATCTGTACATGGATGTTGTGGTAGGTTGAATTGTGTTCCACCCAGAAAAAGATATATCCAAGTAAATGTTTGGAAATAGGTCTTTGAAAATATAATTTGGTTAAGAATCTCAAAATGATTATTCTAGATTTAGGGTGAGCCCTAAATCCAATGACTGGTATCCTTCTAAGAAAAAGACACAGAGACACACACRGAGAGAACACAGAGGGAAAAAAGAAAGTTACAGGAGACAGAGGCAAAAGCCAAGGAATGCTGAAAGAAACAAAGAATTCTTCCCTGGGGCTGGGGATGTAACTTGTTATAAAGCACTTAACTAGCATTAGTATGGCTCTGGGATTAATCCCCAGCATGGCAAAATAAAAATAAAAAAATGAAGAATTCTTCCCTACAGGCTTTGGAGGGAGCCTGGTCCTGCCAATACTTTGCTTCTGCACTTCCCACCTCCAGGACTGTGTAAGAATACCCATCCATTGTTTTAAGCCACTATGTTTATAGTAATTTGTTGCAGCAGCCCAGGAAACTAATACAGATTTCTTTTTATTTATTTATTTATTTTTACCAGGGATTGAACTCAGAGGCACTTGACTACTGAGCCACATCCCCAGCCCATTTGGGGTTTTATTTAGAGACAGGGTCTCACGGAGTTGCTTAGTGTCTCACCTTTGCTGAGGCTGGCTTTGAACTTGTGATTCTCCTGTCTCAGTCTCCCAAGCCACTGGGATTACAGGCATGGTACACCTGCCTGGACCACTAATACAGATTTCTAACAGACCTCTCAAAGTTAACATATCCAAAACAAACTCCCAACTTCAGAAATGTAGAAAGGATGCATTTTAAAAATTGATATATTATAATAACCTCTAAAAAACAAAGATATTGCATCATTGAAATAAAACAATGTTACATTTTTAAAAAATGAACATTCCAATGACAAAGAAAAGATAAATGGGGGACTATTTCAGGTGTCTTAAAACTGAATAATAAGAGTTCCTGAAAGAGAACAGAGGAAATAAAAGGGAAGAAACTATCAAAGGAATTGTTCAGAACAGGTTTTCCAGAACTGAGGGATATGAATTACTATATCGAGGGCCAGAAAAAAAAAGAAAAAGAATAAATGATTTGAATTTAAAATGGACATTGAGAGAACATGAATAGACATTGCTCCAAATAAGTATAACCAACAAGTATAGGAAAAGATGTTCAACTTCAGGGAATACAAATCAAAGCAGTGGTATCACCACATATCTGTTTGGATGGCCTTTAAAAAAAAAAAAAAGAATATGGACAAAAGGGAACCCTTAAACACGGGTTAGTGGGAATGCAAATTAGTGCAGCCACTGTGGAAAATAGTGTGGGGGTTCTTCTTCTAATAATTAAAAATAGAACTAGCATATGATCTAGCCATCCCAATTCTGGGCATATATCCAAAAGAATTTCCAAAAGGCTCTTCAAGATATATCTGAACTCCAATGTTCATTGAGATATTATTAACAATAGCCAAAATATGGAAACAACCTAAATGTCCACTGGTGGATGAAGAGATTAACAAAAATGTGGTATGYACATATAATGGAATATTATTCAGCTTTTAAAAAGAAAAAAATGCTGCCATATGCCACAACATGGATGAAACTAAAGGACATTATACTAGATCAAATAAGTCAGTCCTAGGATGCACACTGCCTGATTTCATTTGTATGCCATAGCTAAAATAATCAACTTACAGAAATAGAAAGTAGAACAGTGATTGCCAGAATTAGAGGTAGGGAGAAATAATGTAAAAGAAAAAAAGGGAGAGAGGCCA